GGCAACGATATACATGTCGTGTCTGTCATGGAGGCTCTGTCATGGTGGCCACCACGACAACACGGCTTCTGTTACTATAATATTAAGGATTTCTCTGGCTTTGATAACTGTTGGAAATATTTGCGGGAATGTAAGTACTAGACAAAAAATATATTTGTAACATACATTTAGTCAATTTTGAATTATTTAGATATTTAAGTGTAAAAGTTCGTATAACTTTCTACATATTGTATATTTAAAGGAGCTGATTAAATTACATAAATTATGTTCACATCGTTACTTAACATGCAACTCTGCTTTCCAACTATCACAAATGTTCAAGGGTTAGTACAGTTCATTCGTTTTCTGGTTAAATAAGAGTGACAGAATATGTATTACATTACTCATACTAGCTAAAAGCTTACAATTATTACCAGAATATTCTTGACTATTTTTATTTTTTGAAGTATATGTTTTATTTTGTCATTTATCTGTCAATTTTGTGTATTAAACTCTGGATACGAGTTGTTTCAGCTGCTTCATACTGTATATTTTAGCTTGAGCACCCAGTTGATAGTGCAGCTTTAAAGTCGGCTTCTTTGTCAGTGTTGGCTTCCAAAGATCCCGGATGGACATCAACATTACTTTTATATCTGTGATGAGCTGCTCTCAACCAACATAATCATTTACATTATAGTTTATTGAACCGTCAGTAATTTGTATCTTAATTATTTCATAGTTATGTATTGTTAAAGTATTTCTGCTGTAATGTTCCTAATAAATGTTTTAAACAGGAACAACAGTTTCTTTTGGTTGTTCTTGCTTTTTGACCAACCAGCCAATAAGAATAAGGTCACATCCACCCCAGATGCAGTTCTGACCCTCATCCCTGTGGTGTCTGTTATCCCTCTCTCTCTTTCCCATATTTCCCGTCTATCTTCAGCTTTACTATCTAATAAAGACGAATGCTAAAAATCATCCTTGAAAGAAGTTATGGTTGTTACTTTTAGTCGTTATCTGTCAAAGACGTGAAGTTCTCTACCGTTGAAAATATAGAAATACAAATTATTAACAATTTCACCTTTTTACAGCATTGCAGCTTTGTGGCAGAAAATAACCAAGGTCCTGCATCCCATGAGCAGCCATTTTGTTTTCTTCTTGACTTGAAAAGCAGAGCTTTAAATGTTACACATTATTGGTAGTTTCCTTTTAGTAGTTTACTCAATCAGTATTTACAAATTACCCCCATACAAGAATATATAAACGTTCTATTCAAATTATGAATAAAATACGTTGAGGGATTAAACTTGTTGAAAAGGTTTCGGCTGACTCTGAAGCTTTCTGTACCTTCTCTTTTTAACATCAAATATACTTGAAGTCGACCCTTTAACTACTAAGTTCACTTCACAGAAACAGTTTCAAACATTTCAAACAAAACAAAATGAAGTTCTAAAACATTTTATACTAATCAAGTAGGCATTAAAAACAAGACACAACCAACAGTTTCAGTCTTTGATAATCATACTTTTGTTCTTATATATGATGCTATACTCTATATGTATATATCTATACATTTGGTGAAGCACTTTGTAACCTTGATTAGTGAAGTGCTATATAAATAAAGTTATTATTACTATATCTTTTTATCACCTTCTTTTAAACATGTTTTATGAGCTTTGAGCCTTTATTTGTTAGGACAGTGGATAGCATCAGAAACTTGAGAGAGAGGGTAAAATAGTTGCAAGAGTAGCCACATGTCGGACTTGAACCAGGGCCGCCTGCTTGACGGACTTCAGCCTCCGAACATGGGATGCTACCTCACCGCTAGGCCATCAGTGCCCTTAGGTTTTTTTTTCGAACTACATAATTTAAATTAATTATCACAGCTGTTCCACACGTTTTATTAACTTCTGTTTGCACTGTAACTTCTTCTTGTGCATTGAAGCCTCTCACCAACAATTTTCTCTTTTTCTCTTCTGCTTTTCTCATATACGATTGGTATACTTGTTGGTATTAATTGCTACTTAATTGTCAACAACAACATCAAGCTGCTTTCATCACATGAAAGGTGCTATATGAATAAGGTCACATCAGCATCCACTCGTTGTTAATACTACCTTAAGTTGTTCAAAGTTATAAATACTGTGAATTCTGCTGCTTCAGTGACATCATGTCCGGCCTGAGTGAAAGGCGGGCCTCCTATAGCAGAGGTGTTAATACAGGAAGTGGTCAGTCAGCCTGTACCAAGTACCGACTATATCATGGGGAAATTCAGTTTGATCATAGTTTCCTTATATTCTGTAGAAGTTGCGAGTTTTGTGGTTTCTACGTTCTGTTTAAGATGAGTAAAACTGAACTTTTCACCAAAGGTTCCAAAGAAACCACTGATCAACGAGTTGGAGCACGCTGTGAAAGCTTCAACTGTTCCCTCAGTATTCTCAATAAGAAAACGAGTTACAGTCAGTACTAAAAGAAAAACATCTAGATGGTAAATGAGGCAGAACCTAAAGTAACATGTCAGATTAGATGAAACATATTGTTATCTTTTTGTCTTCTTTTTTCTGCTCATGAAAACAACCTGAAAACATTAAAACTTTGTCATGGGCAATAAGCAGTTAGTGTTTCCGGTGTTGTGGGCTTCAAACAAACTAGAAACTAGAACTCTACCACAATGTGGAACATTTGCATGTTGAGGTTTTGCTTCTTTTTTTTCACCATCTTACTGTGGCTTTAGTTTTTTGAATTTGAATTGTTATTTTAAAATGATTTACTGAGAGACATGCTTCTCACACACATTGACCTGAATCACACACATGTTCAAACAGGACCTGTGGACGTGCATTAGTGGAGAGAAGTCAGAGTGGGGCTGCTACACACTGCTATGCAGGCAGTGCACCAGATCAGTCGTGGGTTATTATTTATTAATGATCATGTGAATCATTAGATGGCATTCTATTTGTAATTCTGCCACCAGGGTGTGTTAGACAAGGACACTCATATATTGTGTATTGAAAATCATTATTTATTTTGTTTATAAAAACACAACACAAATAAATATAATAATATCATATATTTGGAATAACATGCAGCACATAGAACACTAGAAATGTTAGGTGTGTATGTGGTCTTAAAGTTATTGGCATTATGTTTCATGGATGTGCAATAATTAGTTATTAGTGCCATTATTTATTTATTTAACCCCTAACAGAAGCCATTTCACATGATCTCTTTCTTATTTGAGCAGTAGACAGGAAGTGTAAACAGGTTTGTTGAGGTTGGTGCTTAGAATTGTGTGAAGTGCAATAGGGAAGGAAGTACAGAGACAGAAGTCCGAGAGAAACTCTGCTCTCACATTTTAATGAACTGTTACTTGTCTTTCTCCTCTTTTCCTTCTGCATTATTAGAAATGTAAAGTTAATGTTTTATTTTAAAACTAAGCGTCAGAGTTTCATTGTCGTTTTGGATGTGAAGATGGACCAAACCTTGCGTTGTGTGCTGGGTTTTTTCTGTGAGTACATCAGAGCTCTTTAAGTTTTGTGACTTTCAAACAGCGAGTCATGTTTCTATGAACATGTAGTTCAGCTGTTTGAATAATACAACAGGAGTTAAGCACTTGCTGTTTGTACAACATTTGAACAAGGCGTGAACAGTAAATAGTCGATAGTTTGGGAAAAAAAAGCTTTAGGATTGAAATGGCTGCCAAACGTTTGTTGTTTTGTGAGAAATTCTGTTTATTGATGGATAGCCCCTTGAGATGAACCATCTCGTTTTTGAAAGTTTTGACAATAACAGTTACCTAAAATGAAACTCTATCTGGATTTAACACCTTTAATTCTTCCCTGATGAACTATTGATCTTTATTTTAGTGCTGAATTTGATCCCCCACGGATTGGCTCAAGGTAAGTGATTGTCTTATATTTCTGATTTTTGTTTTTTAAATATTTCTGCAGTTCCTCTATTTATTACCTACTTCATCTCTTTAACATCATCCACATGTAGTGTTTTGTGTTTATGTATTATCTCTTAAGTTTTAAAAGAAAATGTCCTAGAACATGAACTGAAAATGTTTTTTTTTAAGCTATGTATTTTAGTTTTCTCTTTTGACTCGACTCTGTCCTCACCATGGAAAGCTGCTGGTATTTCTAGAAACTGTTGTGACTCTGTAAGCTCTTATATCTCTTCAACAGCTGCTTCTTTTAACTGCTTTATACGTTACTTTAAAACCATTTACAACATTATTGTTGTGTCATTATTGTTACAGTTATATTGTACAGACATTTAAATCATTACAATAAGGATCATGGATGAAAACTGTAATATTTTCTATTTTTAATTTTTTTTCCAATCCTGTTTCTTTGTGATGTGAACAGGTAACCGTCCCCTTGTGACCATTACATCCAACTGGCCTGAAACATTCTGGGCTGAGACGCTCACTCTCAGATGTGAGATTGAGGGAGGTGGAGACTCTGAATGGACGTTTGGATGGAGAAGAGACAGAACATCCAGTTCAGACAAACATACAACAGACAATAAATACATTATTAGCCGAGCCACTGATTCTGACAACGGAGACTATGAGTGCTCAGGCAGAAGAGGATCCCCTAATCCTACCGACACGCCTTGGAGTGAACCCTTCAACTTGACTGTAACACGTAAGTTGAACCATGTTGTCAATAATTAAAATGTCCAGGTGGAAATGATTTCATCTAAATGAGAAAACAAAACATTGCTTGCTTAAAGTCTTTGCAGGGAGCTGTGACAAATTATTTTTTAACTTTCAGCATGGTAACAAAATAACTGAGAAACTTAAGACTATCACATCTTTTGTAATCTGCTTAAAATATGTCTTAATATGTTTAAAACAGTGAATTTTGATGTCACTAACAGTGTCTGAATAATTTCTTATAAATATTGGCTAAGTTATTCACATTTGACAAAGAAGATGTTTGTTGATATTGATAGAGCTCTCCTAAGTTATGATTGCTGTGTCAAAGTGAGAAAAGTATCTCAGATCCTCAAACATGGGCCTCCTGGCTCCGCCTCCTGGCCCCGCCTCCTGGCCCCGCCTCCTGGCCCGCCTTCCCGTTATAAACTTCGAGGCGACCGAGCCTTTGCAGTCAAGGCCCCACGGTTGTGGAACAGCCTTCCTCCCTCAGTCAGGGTCTGCCCCCTCTGTGGAGTCTTTTAAGTCACGCCTCAAAACACACTTTTACATGTTGGCTTTTGAGTCCTAATTAGGTTGCTTGTATTTCTTTCTGATGTATTTCTATCAAATATCATTTAATATTATAGTCTGATTATATTGTTAGTATTCTGTGTGTGCATTTGTGTTTGGGCACATATGTATGTGTGAGTTTTTGTCTTGTTTTTTTAAATGTGCTTTATGAATACATTTGATTGATTGATGTTGTTTTTTAAAGTGATACATGATTTGGGTCTTTTCTGGAATTGAACTACTTTAAATTTAATATAATTTAAGAGATAAATCTTAACACTAGTTTCAGCTCATAATTCTTCAAGTCATTTTTACTTCTGGGCTCAGCACTGTTTGAATTTGACCAAATTGTAGGTACGGTAATTTACCTTTTTACATCTTTGTTTCCAAATCAAACAGCAAGAACACCAAAGGCTGAACTGAGAGCTGACAGGACATCAATTCCAGCAGGGGGCGCTGTGACCCTGACCTGTGACGTGAACCCTCCATCACCTGGCTGGACGTACATCTTGTTCAGAGGAGATCACCCGGGCACACACGATGATGGTAAAAACTTCAATGGACGAATCAGTGTCTCCAAGGGAGGAGTCTACAGGTGCAGAGGAGTGAGAAGAGAACCAGTTTACTACACAGAGTACAGTGATTCAGTCACTATCAACATCATTTGTGAGTGTAACATTTTTGAAAACTTGTAATAATGTTTTTTATCCATAAATTGATTGATAAAAAAAAGCTAAAGATGTTTATTTTTTCTCATCATTGTGTCCTTGTTGGGATCTCTTGAACACAAACAGTATCAAACAGAGCTGTTGTGACTCTTCAGCCCCATTGGACTGAGATATACAGCGGAGAGAAGATCACTTTGAGATGTGAAATCGAGGGTGGAGACAACTCTGAGTGGGAGTACGAGTGGAAAACAAGCAGCTCATTCAAACCTCCAAAGGAAAAGGAATACAGTATTAGACCTGCTTATACATCACACAGTGGAAACTACAGTTGTAAGGGCAGAAAAAAAAGTGACCAGTCTCCAACAGGTTGGAGCGATCCCATCACATTAACGGTTTTATCCAGTAAGTAACATTTCTTTCATATAAACATTATACTGTACTATCAGATATTCCATCATTACATGGTTTTATTTCTTTGAATAATCACTTTTCCAACAGGTTCACCCCAGCCTGTCCTCACCGTGTCTCCACTCTGGCTGAGTCCTGGAGACTCTGTGACTCTGAACTGTGAGGTTAAACACCCATCAGCAGGATGGAGGTTCTACTGGTATGAAGCTATTCCCAAACTATCTGACAACTCCTACAACTCCTACAACTCCTACAAACACAGCTGCTATCTGGAAGCAGAGATGGAACTGAAAAGTATTCCTTCATTGTTCATGGACAGACACACACAGCAGGATATGTGTGCAGAGCTGGAAGAGGAGAAATGAACACTCCTTATAGTGAACCAAAGTTTGTCTGGTCTGGAGGTCAGTTTGTTTCTGTCTTTATCTTGAGATTAATATCTTTATTCAGTTTTGATCTATGAACAACATAGAGTTTCTTCAGTACTTTTGTCTGTATTGTACAACAATCCAAGAGCAAGATAGGAATCGATCACGATGACTTCATGCTCTTTCTTTCCCCTTCCTTTTAGTGAACAACTTTTCATTGAGTTGTAAGCGTGTATACATACATATACATTCTCAAAATAGTTAAAACAGAAAGCTCAATATCTACACTCGATTATCAAAATAAATACACAACTTAACTTGGAGCTAATGTGCAGGTAGTTTGTAAATATATCTTCATCTGTCTAAATAGACAATTTAAAAGCATCATATATGTGGTGTGTGTGTATCCACAAGTGCATATGCATGAGCCTACAGTACAATATACACAGCCAAATGCCAAACTCGTTTCCTTGGTGAGTGGTTGATGTTGTTTTTGGTAGCATGAAAAACACTAAAAGGAAGATTATTAGAGTCTATCACTTAAATAATCGTTCAATAAAAACATTTTACTTTGTATAATTAAGCATCTTATTGCTAATTGTTTACTCTCACATATGAGGGCTTGTTTGATTAAAATAATGTTGGTCAGTAATCAGTCGTATGTAGACACTATATGAAAAATCTATTTCAGCCATTCCTGATAAAACAGAATATGGACTGAAGAAAAAAAAACAATGCTAATCTGCCATATCTTTGAAAAATGGCAGGTCAAAGAAAGTCTTTCAATTTACAGACCGAATTCCTTGGTTGGATATCTACATTAAATATAAAGTCCAATGGCAGCTAACGGTCTTTTTTTCTTTTTTTCTTCTTTTCTTTCTTTTTTTAGATTTGCCTTCATCAGCATCTCTCACAGTGAGTCCTGAAAGAGTGCAACACTTCACCTCTGATTCTGTCTCACTGGAGTGTAAGGGGAACTCTACTCAGTGGAGAGTGAAGTTTCAATGGGACAGCTTCCTGGTAGATTGCTCCAAGTGGGATAAAATGACTGGATCAACATGCACAATAGAGGAATACAGATTGAGAAATAATGTGTACTGGTGTGAGTCTGGATCAGGGGAGTTCAGCAACGCTGTCAACATCACTAAACAGAGTATGTTTTTATTACATTTCTTCTTAAAGTTTTTATCTTTCAGCATCCAAGTATTCAATTCAACATCATTCAGTTCCACGTTATCTCCATCGACATTGAAAAAGTAAAAGAGCAGCCCAGTGTGGGAGAGTTTACTCTCTTAATTAGATAAAAGCAAAGATTAAGGTCTGAGTGTATATCATTATTAAATACTGATCACATTTGTAGACAGTTGCTGTTCAAACACATTTGATGCCAAAGTCTTAAACATAAGAAGGAGTAAGGTGTACACAAGATAACACATCAGATTAATCATCACTTTGAAGCATTGCTGTAAAAAAAGAAGAAATATATTCTCATCATTCTGTGTCTGCTAATTTTCATGTTTGAACCTGATGATCTCTGACTGAATCCTCTTTTCTTTAACTGTTTTACAGAGTATGACATTATCCTGGTGAGCCCTGTCCATCCAGTGACTGAAGGAAGTTCAGTTATTCTTAGCTGCAGATTGAGACGCTCAGATATTGTTTCCAATGTGTTCTTCTATCAGAATAACAAACTCATTCAAAATGATGCCAGAAAGGAGCTTAATATCTCTGCTGTGTCAAAGTCTGATGAGGGCTTCTACAAGTGTCAGACCTCAGGGAGCGAGTCGTCTCAGAGTTGGATGTCAGTAACAGGTGAGTGGGATAGTCAGGGAGATACCCCGTGCCCTCTAAAGTAATGTACATACTTTCATGCACTAATGTTAAACAGACACTCTTGAAGTAACATCAAGCCGGCTTAGAGGCCTGTGTTAACGTTAGCTTAGCATGACTAGCAACCAGTACTTGGGTGTGAATGACCTCGGACAAAATCATTTCAAATGTTTTTTTTTTTTTTTTATAAGCAGCAAAAAAAGTATCCCTTTAACTGAAATGTATTTTGATGTGTTTTTAGCCTTATTGTAGATGTTTTGTGCTTCTTGCAGAACAGGTAATACTCTCCAGAGAGTTCATTGATTTCTAACCTCTTTTGGTCGGGGTGCCAACTCCTACATAAGAGGAGGCTTGAGGGCCTTGCAGGTTGTTGGTGGTTGGAGGGGCAAAGTGTTGGAGAATTGTTGACAGTAACCAAAGAGTGTGCCGCGCTGCAAGGGCCCACGGTGGCATTGTTTAGCGCTGAGTCGCGTCTTTAGTTTGTCACTTTTTACATTCTGTTCTTATTTCTTGCTAGTTTTATTTGTTATTTTTAAATTTTTCTCCAGGCCTGTACTGTACATATTGCTGCACTTGTTTTTTTTCATTGTAAAAAAATTCACTCGGACTGAATTTTTGATTTTTTTTTTCTTTCTTTAGCCTAAGCCACTTTCCCATCCTTACAAAAATACAAATTACTGAATGATTTTATGTAAACCATGTTTTGTTTGAAAAAGAAATAGTCAAATACACCATCTAGTTGGAAGTAACCACACTTTAAGTGATTGACCTTATTGATTCAATAATTCAGTGTTGAATGAGTAATTTGGTTAAATCCTGGATTGTGATAAAATGATGTATTCATTGTAGACTATTTTCTTTACACATGTTTGTGTTTTGTCTTCACCGTTGCTTGAGACAACATGACAAAACATTTAATTATCATTGTCTATAATTTTAAGAAGTGTTTTATAAGTTCATTAACAGTTATTTGTTATTATTTGTAGCGATGTCCAGGCTTGGGAACCCTTCATATCCTGTAATTCTCGTGATTGTCGGGTTGATTTGTGGAGTGGTACTTATAATTCTTCTGCTCCTGTTGTATCGCTGCAGGCAGTCAAAGGGTGAGACCTTTATTTAATATTTTTCTCTTACACATTTGATGGTTTATTGCAAATGTTTGACATGAAATGGTGGCAAACTAAAAGAACAACACAATGTCTTTTTTACAGATTCATGCCGTATCAGGTTGGTTCAGTGCTCTCTTGTGTCTCATTTTGAACATTACATTAACACTTTGCCATTACGCCCAATGTTAACACCTTTTTATTTACTCAATGTTGGAGGTCAATCCAGTCTGAAAGCACCAACCAGGACTCGGCCACAAATCCGGCCGCTCAGCATCATGAATACTCACCTCCCCTGCAGGGTAAGCATTTGAATTGATCATAAATATTTATAGTTAGTTTTGACTCAGTGAAACCAGGACAATGATGTCAGCCAATACGCTCTAAACTGTTTCCTGAAATAGTTTCCGACTGTAGATGAACTGTAGTTTATGCACGGCCAAGAATGTTTGTGGATAACAAAACATATATTTCAGATGCAAACCAGTCCCAGTCCCATGATGTTACATATTCTCTGATCGAGCTCAAAAACATCGGAAAGAAAGGTAAGTATTTCAATAAGATACAGCAGAAAAAATACTGAAGTGTTTTTACGTTCATTCGGCTCGTTTGTTATGTCTTATAGGGAAGAAACCTGAACCAGACAGCACGATTTATTCTGATGTGAGGTTAGAAACAGAAGGTAGGTTACAGTGCTGCTTTAAGTTGATGTTAAAATGCATCATGGTACACACTGGAGGAGATAATGGGTCAGCTTGCAGTTCAGTAATTATTCTAAATATTTCCACTGGGTGTCAAAAGAGACAAAATTTGTCAAATGTTAGCTAAATTTGGGGCATTTATTCCTGTGACTGCTCAGTTTGGCTGTTTAAATTAACGTACGTACGTATGTTGGATGCATGTTATTGTCGGATCGTCATGTGTTTTAAGAACATTTCCATCTCACAGATTAAGTATTAAGATGGACAGTTTTGGGTCCAAACAAAAGCAAGAAGAAGAAACATTCACTGAGCTGCCATAGTGATAACACATAATCTGTACAGTCATCATAGAAACTCAAGTGTTTCTACATTTTTCTTCCTCAATCCTTCAACCCGTCCGTCTGTACATTACAAATTCAGTCTACAAAGAAAACCAATCCTAAAATCTGTCTTTTGCTTTAGATCCATCTGTCCTTTATTCTCAAATCAGCTGCCATAATCCAGGTAAAGCCAAGAAAAACAAAGGTGAGTGAAGTAAGCAATCAACTGCAGTTTTTCTTCTCCCACACAGCGCAATATAAAATATGTATTGTGGTGTTTTTTTGTTTTTTCTTTCAAATCGCAGGTGATGTAAGCTTTTATTGTTAATATTAACCGTCAGGTGTTCTTACATTAAAGGTCCAATATGTAGAATTTAATTACAATGTTTACGTTGAAATATCTAAATTAATAAAAAATTGATTAAATTGATTAGTAGAGAGAACTCACGATTCCCTGCCAGCACCAACGTCATCTTTTATTATTGTTTTGATTGAGCGCCCCCCGGTGGTGAAATCTGCATACTGTGCCTTTAATACATCTGAATTCTGCATTTGTTTTAGATGTGTTGCTTCTGAACATTTTGCATACTTAGGCAACTTTAATGCTTAAAGATGATGCTGAAATCAGTTTATTGGCTAAGGGGGGGAAAGGGTTAATGGCTGCAACAATACAAATAATGACAGATTGTAATGACCATTACATACATGACAATTACAAACATAAGGCTTATTCTTAATATTCAGTATAATGAACTTTTTTTACACTGATTGTCTCTCTCAGGAAAGCCAACTCCTGCGATAACTGAAGAATCGGTTTACTCTGAAGTCAAACGAGGTACAGCTCATGGTTTTAATGCAACCTTACATCATGAGGATTTATTTTATGTATATGTCAACTGATTTTAAAACAGGCAAAAGGGTCTGATAAAGATTGCAATATTCTTAAATAATTACTACTCTTTTTTTCCCCTTTGCTTCTCTTCCAGATCAATAAAGTTCTGTATCTATAGACGTAAGGAATGGATGGCAGCGTGAAAAAAAGACAAGTCTTGGCTTGATTAGTATTTGCAGCTGTCATGTGATAATTTTGTGCTCGTGCTTGTAAAAAAGTATTCGCTACAGTAAGTAGCATAGAAAATAAATTAAATTGTGTATTTATTTTGTATTCCTGAAAGTTTGGTTAAACATTTCATGCATCGATTAACTTCTTTCACTAGTAAGCTGTGAGCAGCGTTACCCGCCTTTATTTGGGACAGGGCGGATCATTTCTTTGGTCATTTTCTAATGTTTGTGATGCAATGACAAAGTAGAAAAGGAAGATATAAGACCTGAGGTGTCTCATGTATCTGTCACATTAGAAAAGAACTGATTCATCAGATTCAAGTTGAAATGTGACATATGTCTCTTCAACAAAGTTATAGTTGTACACAAAGTGTTTGTAAAGTTGAATTGTTACGTTCCACATGTTTTTGTTTTGTTAGACTAAGTTACATTTCATTTGAACTACTTGTATCGTGCTGTATCGAGAGCAGAAGATTTTATCCACGAGGAATAGTATTTAAAAATGAGAACATAACCAGAGTATAAAAATCTCTACTCTGTTTAGCGTTAAGCTAACCACTTAGCATATGCTGTTATAGCCTGTTTTCTGTTTTTTATTTTTTTAGATTTTGAACAAGTTCATTTCATTTTCTATTCTTTACCTTAGTGATACTATAGTTTGTTGTATTCAAACAAAAGCCTTTCATACAATATTTGAGTTTCAATGGTTATTGGTGAACATGTCTGTACAGATTTCTGCCATTTCAATAAAATTGGATTTTTAAGATATCCTGACAGCTTCTGTGTTGAACTTATTAGCAGCACCGGTGCCAGACTGTGACCCAAAGATAGGCACCCAATGGATAAAGATGTAAACTCAGAGGGAGCGTTCAAAAAGGAAAGGCGTTTAATGCAGTCCAAGGTTTCGTGCACAGAAATTCAAACAAATCCAGAGGAGAAGGGAAAAAAACAGGCAGAGATCATAAACACTAAAGCTATAGACAAAAATGCTAGGACAAAGGAAACGCTACGATCTGGCAACAGGGAGCACAAACTGGGATTCAAACAACCAAACATTTCCTTCTGACTTCACCCGGAGTTTTTCCCGCCAGACCCTTAATAGCAGGATATTCTTTGGAGAATTCCCCTCGAGCCAATGGGAGGGGAGAGTGACGTTTATATTCTGAGTGCTGCACAGTGCATTAAGTGTATGCATGCGACCGCTTCAATCTCTGTGCACGTTATTAAACGGCTGCTTTATGTTTTCTCTTCTTTTGTATGTTGTTCTCCGCTCCTTTGTTGATATTGGGATTCCCATTAAACCACACGTAGCATTGATATAAGGACAAACATTCTCATTAGAACGTCGTATTGCAGACTCTGTTGCTTCCTCTGCTACTTCCAGGTTTTTTTAGGACAAATACAGGCGTCACAAATTCTACACTTCTGCTCCCTCTACCACGGGAATAATCTACTTTTCCCCACAGCTCATACCAGGTTCTGAAAATTCAAACTTAATAGTGATGAAGGACACGTACCTGTAAACTATCACAAGTTCATTTTGGCTGTCAAACAAATTGCCTTAGTTGCATTAAAGGTCAGATTAAGAATGAAAACTTGAAGACTTATTTCTCCTGCATGGTGTTCACTTTCTATTCAACACTAATAAGATTCTACCTGATGTTTCAGAGTAACTTTTCATTCCTAAATTACTTTCACTTTGACATACTGTAATTTGTACTCTTAAGTCTTTGCATTTAGCTTGGATCAAGAACAAGACACAAGAAGTATCTGCATGGCCCGAGCAGTGTGTGTACTTGACAGTCATCGTAAAGTGTGGGTGTTAAAAAAGGGAAGAAAAGACGCTGTGCTTGGTGTTGGAGGAAACATGATATCAGATTAAAGATATGAGTGTCAACAGCTTTCAAGATTTAAAGCAGACATTCAACAGAGGCTGTGGGTCGCTGCTGGGTACAACATGGCGCACACTACGGTCTGTGTAGTGGTGTTTTTCAGTGAGTACAAGTTTGTTTTTATCTTAATATGTCAAGAAAATTTTGACCACCTTTTTTTTCTTAGAAAACATAAGATGATACCAATTATTATTATTATTATTATTATTATTAACACTCTGACTATTCTATGTTATTGAATTTCATATCGTCATACACCTTTCTGTTTATTTCATGACGAGGTCTCTGATTGAAACTGCCTTCACTTCATTCCTGTTAATTGACGTTCAATGATGATTCACTGTTTAGACGTTTTTCAGCCATTAAAAGTTACATTGAAACTTCAGCTGTTGTTAAATGCCTTTTTTATTTTTGAAGCTTTAAAACAAACAGTTTCTGCTAGTTGTGATCATATTTAATAAGCTATCAATCTTCATTTCAGCGCTGGTTACACTCACGCTACACGCTGAAGGTGATTACACCATCTTCCTTTTTTTCTGTTCTATTCTTTCTCTTATTTTTAGTGAGGTGGACATGAGTAAAGGAGCAGGTTGAAAGGCTTGCTTGGCTTTCTGGTTTGGACTCATTTAGATGACCTGACCTACAACAGTGAGGTCTTTGATGGCTTCTTTGTCAGGAGTTTTAATGAAGATGCAGAATGAATAGTGATTGTGAGTGGTGGATTTTGGTCCGTCTGGTGCTGCTTTTGCTGCCCCCTGATTTTCTTCATTGCTCCTACTGGGTCTCTTGTTTGAGGCAGCACTGCCACCGTGTGTCCAAATATAATCCATGAGCACAGTCGACAGCAACAAGCTCATTTCCCTTACGTCCCCTTCTGTTCATCCTTCTTCTGTTGTCCTGCTGTAGTATGAGCTGTACAAGATTTGGAGCAGATGAAGATGTTAACTAACCTGTATGTGACTCTTCTGATCATAAATAATTACTGAAGATGCTGCATTTAAAATAAAGTGCTGTTTGCTCATCACTGATGTGCATTGTAACATAAACTAAGGTCAAACTGTGTGGATAAAGAAGCTAATGCTGTATGTGGACAACACACAGCGGGTTAAAAGAAACATTGATATAAAATGTTTAACCCTTATTCCGCTCTGCTAACAATAAAGTATCAGGTCTGGTCAGACTGCATGCTCTACTTCCTGCCTTGTCGGTTTTGTTTTCCAATTCAGCGGAGTTCGATAGACAAGAAGAGGAAACAGACGTTCCTCCCTACAGAGATGGCCGCTGATCGCATCCGATATTTGAGATACTTTTTTACATTCAGTGCTCTGCTGCTGTTTGAGGTCTGCCTGCATGGTATGTACACCTGTCTGTTAGAGACTAGACGGCTTTACTGTAACTGTGAGTGTAAAAACTGAGACAGTTAAGATGCAGTTTTACAATCTAACTTAAAGTGCAGGAAGATCTTAGGTGCAGTCTAAGTAATGTTAGTAAAATGTGTCGGGGTTCTAATTAGAATAACAATAAGTGGTACGGTAGTTAAAACATGCTGAGATAAAACTGTATAACCAATATAACCAGTATAAACAGTCTGATATACATTTAGATACATGGTTAATGCATACACACAAATATAACATGTATGATGAAGTGCAGTTGCAACATTAATAATATACAGAAAAAAACAGCATGATGCATATTTGGTATTCACTATAGATCATCAGTATTGTTGAATTGACCAACTATTGTTGTGTTGGTAAAGCTTGACTTGATCAAGGTCAAGGTGAACTGAAGAAGAGGTCAGGAAGAAAGTGAGTCTGAATCTTATGCATTTACGTTCTATGAAGTGGAGTTCTTTGTAATATATGTTCCTTGTTGTGTTACTTTTACGTGTGATGTTTTTGTTAAGCATTGCCTCAAGCTGAACTTGCCTTGCTTTGCCTAATAGAAGTTATTGTAACTATAGCTACATGATGCAGAGATTTAATCATACTCTTTTTCAAATAAACACAAGATACTTGTCTTGTGCCTTAATGAAAGGAGAAGCGCTCAGGGAAGAGACCACTCGTTTGTTTGCCCGTACTGATAACCTACCTAGTTGCCACCACAAACAAAACAGCGATGCAGCCTTTAAGGGCCCGGGGGAGCTGGCCAGGTATTGAAAATGTCCATACTACCCACCCTACCCTACATGGTCCCTAATGGCCTCCACAACCAAAATGCAACTATTCCTGGAGTCAAAATTACACAAGAAATAAAAAAAATGGAAAAAACGCTGAAAGGTCTAAATAGAGACAATGGAATATTTTTGTAGTTAGTAGGCTGCCAACAACACAAGTCTGGGGTCCCAAAAAGGAGTTATACAAAACCTTAAGAATTGTTTTCCTACTCTGTCTTGTTAATTTACTGTGAAACTCAACCTGAATCAACAGACAGCCGCTCTTTACATACTGAAATGCAGAAGCAGAACCTCTACACCACAGTAGTGGTTCTAGACCACTTTTACTGAGGGGGCCAAACTGGGACCAGTTGTTTTGTCAGAGGGGAACATTAAACCCAGGTGAAAAATAGACAAAGATGATTGCTTTAAAAAATATCTATATAATATGCCAAAACATCATTGAATACCATGATTTATATTTGTTTCAGTAACAGTATTTAATACTAGATTTTGAGTCCGGTTGTTGAGTTACTGTGTATGTGCTTTTCGTTTTGGAGGGGTGGCCACAGGGAGGACCAAGCTCAGTGTTACATGGGCACTGGCCCCTGTTGGCCCCTGCCTAGAACTGCCCATGCTACACCACTAACTTCAGCAGTAACATTTGCTACAAGTCAGGAATTCATCATTCTGAGCAAAAAGGAATGAAGGAGAATAACATTCCTGTAACTTTAAAAGTTGTTATGGGCTAGTTATAAGTGTTCCTCGTCACTGCATGTCACCCAGCCTCCCAAAATCATGTCCTTTTCATCTTCTCTCTCTTAGGTGCAACTATAAGTCATAATATCAAGATCAATTTGGCATCAACAAAAAACAAGTAATTGTTATTTGCTTGTGTGTTTCAGATGTGCAGGCTCTCAGTTGTCAACATGTCCTCCATAAAAAAGTCGGGGACACAGTGGAGTTGTCGTCGTGTTTACCAGCTAAAGGAGTCACTGCAGCAAAGTGGCTATATGAAGGGTCAACCATTGCAAACAAAGATAAGACTGCTGATGGAAAACAATTTAAGGGCAGATTAAAACTGAACCCTACAAACTTTAATTTAACAGTGAGAGAGCTGACTCTGCAGGATTCTGGTGAATTCAGTTTTGTCTCAGAAGTAAGAACACAAAGGGACACAGTCTCAGTCACTCTGAAAGTTCACGGTAAGACATGTCTTTTGACTTTTAAAGAAAATGTTCCCAGTAAACATCGTAAACTTTGTATTAAAGCATTAATCAAAAATCTGTCCAAATTGAAACTCCACTTTTCATTCTTACACACAATATATATTATCTCCAACGTTAGTGTCTTAACTCTCTCTCTCTCTCTCTCTCTCTCTCTCTCTCTCTCTCTCTCTCTCTCTCTCTCTCTCTCTCTCTCTCTCTCTCTCTCTCTCTCTCTCTAGATCCAATAACAAAACAGCCTAACCTGACTGGCAACTCCACCTGGCAGACCTTCACCAACTCCTGCATGGTGTTGCTCCAGTGCAGTGTGAACTCTGACATTGATGTCAGCTACAACTGGACTGTAGGGAAGGAAATCAGAAATGGCCCCAGGCTGCAATACGACCTCAGGACACAAGATGGAGACACAGAGTTCACCTGCACAATTTACAATCCAGTCAGCGAGATGTCGGCATCCACAACAGTGAAGTGTAACAGTGACCTGCAAGAGCAAGGTAAATGCAGAGAAGAGGAAATGATTGCCTGACTCGTATCTTCTGGTGCAGAGGGTCTATAAAGTACCTTTTTTTTTTATTGGTGTTGCTTCTGTTGAGTCAAATTCTCTGAGGATGTTTATAGTTTATTTTGGTCACAGAGTTAGTTTTAGTAACTTGACTTAATATCAAATGCACTTTCTTCATTAATAAAGTCTTTAATACAAAGATACATAACTTTACTCTGAGGATATGAAATAAGAAAATTGTTATCCAACTTTTAAAAGAAACAAACATCCATTTTGTTTCATGAAAAACGAACATAAGTAGGGATGTTTTTTTCTGACATTGTAGTTTTTTCCACGTGATTTATGTAAAAAAAAAAAGATATACTCTATAAGACGTTTGCATGCCGAAGTGGGGACACTTTTCATTTCCAAATATCCATCAGCTCGAGCTCAGGTTGCAGATTTTAAAATGACAGCGAGTCATTTAGGGTGTTTGTTTTCTCTGTGGAGCTTGTACTTCACTGAAAGAGCTTCTAGCTTACACCCCACCTGTACTACTTAAGTGTGAGCCCGTTGTGACCAGCTTCGTAATGCTGCTAAAGAAAAACCTTGGCCGTGTTGTTATGATAATGTGTTAGGAGGATTCACTTCAGGGTCTTTAGCGGTAGGCGTGGTTGGTAGGAGGAGAAGCAGGGTCAGTACTGATGACACACCTTGGGGGGCGGGTGGTATCTCTGTCTCTGTAATCTTCATTAGCAGCACCTGCAGAGGAGCCGGCAGAAATTTGAGTCGAAGAGACGCCGTGAGGACGCAGAGAATCTGAAGTAACGTTTGTTTTTGTTTCAACACTTCATGGGTTCTTTTTACACATGAACTAAACTGATATGAAAGAGAGGGCTGGCGGAGGAGATCGTACCCAGGTGACTCCGTGACGTCCTGTATTTCCACGCTCCCACCACACACAACACGGCCTGAAGAATTCTCTTCTTCATTTTAAAAAGACCATCAGATATCCATTCTACTGGTGATCTCGCTGGTGTTGCTGGTTTGCTACAAAATGTTCAAGGGTAAAAACATTATTTTGCAAGCTGAATGATAATTATTATTTCAAATCACAATCCAGATCATTGATTCAGTATTTCCTTTTCTTACAGATCCATGCTGTAACAGGTAAGTTAACTCTTCTCTCATTGAAGATGACTACGTCCTTCACATGTTTGTTTTTTTATCATACTTATACTAGTTTGTGGATTACAGCTACTGTACTTCTCTTCCTACATGTTTAAGGCGCCAACAATCTCAGACGGCCAACCAAGATGAAACACAGCAGCAAGTTTACTCGTCTCTTTCCCACGGTCAGTCTCGTATCCGATCCTGAAATCCAGTTTTCACTATTTCTTCTCATAAACACTCAAAAGAGTTAAAGAAAAAGATTCAGAAAGAAAGGGGACTTTTGTATTTCATACATCATTTCTGATTTGAAGGTGATGGCTGTGTCTATGAAACACTTAGAGGTCCTGAAAACGCCGAAACAGGTGATGTATAAAATTGTATTATGTGGGGCTTCTTTTGGAAACTCAGAGATTAAGACTCAAGTCATTCAATATTCTTATTTCAGACGACCCAGCAAACGATTACCTTAATGTCACATCTCTGTCTGCTCATCCTTAACTGCCTATACTGTATATAAGACACTCAAAGTTAATGCAAGGTACGTATAAAAACTTACAATAAGGGGACTATATGGCAATACATCTCTGTGAGGGTATGACATATGAAGCTCGACCACCCGAGGTCAAATAAATCAAGAAGTTCATGGGTTGTTAGGTTACTCATTATAAACACATGTGACAGAATTTGAAGTTTATTTTTAAAGTATGGAGCCCCTGAAGTCACAAAAAGTAAAAAAAAAACAACAACAACAAAAAACGTATTGCACAACTTATTATTTTGTACCCACAAGATAATAACTGGTGCGCAAAGTGCGTTAAAAAAAAAGTAATTTTTGGGACTTCAGGGTCTCCGCTCAAAAGTGTAAAAGAAAATCTTGTTTTATAATGGATTCAGTTTTTTTATGTTATCAGGAGTCAATTAGTTATTACAACTTTTCCTTAAGCTTAACTTGCCTGTATGTGAAGTGTTTGACTATGAATCCATAAGAAGATTTAATGAACCTGGGCATTGAATCGCATTTAAGTTAGAACTTTTTAACATGATAGTTTATTATCTTTTTTTTCCACTTCAATTTTTTTCACACGTTTATCTGATTTGGTTCCAGGTTCATGAAAAGAGCTGCATCATCGTCAACAAAACAGTCGAAGCTCGGGGGACTCAACATGTCATGTTTACGTATTCAGGGTGCTGCTTTTGAATATTAAAGGAACGATATGTAACTCTGTCACCTAGTGTTTAAAATGGGTACTGCAGTCCAAACTCAAAACATTGAAGAGAGCTGTCTCCCCCCCCCCTCCTCCTGGACACTAAAGCTTCAGTATTGAACCAGCTCTATTTTCAAAGAACAATATTTATCCTTGTTGTACCAAATTTTGCAAGTTTTTTAGGTTGGACAGATTCAGTTTTATCTAAACCAGTTTGCCTGCCCATTTTCATCCCTGCAACACCTGCTGGTTTGCTGTTTGCCTGGCAAGCGGGGGTGGGGGCTTCCAAATTGGCCGTGTAGGGGTGCTTTATAATCACGTTCTTCTCTAGTCAAAACAAATTGTTGCTTGCATTGTTGTCAGAGAAGCCAGCACTGCACTACCTTAAGTTGTTCAAAGTTATAAATACTGTGAATTCTGCTGCTTCAGTGACATCATGTCCGGCCTGAGTGAAAGGCGGGCCTCCTATAGCAGAGGTGTTAATACAGGAAGTGGTCAGTCAGCCTGTACCAAGTACCGACTATATCATGGGAAAATTCAGTTTGATCATAGTTTCCTTATATTCTGTAGAAGTTGCGAGTTTTGTGGTTTCTACGTTCTGTTTAATTAAGATGAGTAAAACTGAACTTTTCACCAAAGGTTCCAAAGAAACCACTGATCAACGAGTTAGAGCACGCTGTGAAAGCTTCAACTGTTCCCTCAGTATTCTCAATAAGAAAACGAGTTACAGTCAGCACTAAAAGAAAAACATCTAGATGGTAAATGAGGCAGAACCTAAAGTAACATGTCAGATTAGATGAAACATATTGTTATCTTTTTGTCTTCTTTTTTCTGCTAATGAAAACAACCTGAAAACATTAAAACTTTCTCATGGGCAATAAGCAGTTAGTGTTTCCGGTGTTGTGGGCTTCAAACAAACTAGAAACTAGAACTCTACCACAATGTGGAACATTTGCATGTTGAGGTTTTGCTTCTTTTTTTTCACCAGCTTACTGTGGCTTTAGTTTTTTGAATTTGAATTGTTATTTTAAAATGATTTACTGAGAGACATGCTTCTCACACACATTGACCTGAATCACACACATGTTCAAACAGGACCTGTGGACGTGCATTAGTGGAGAGAAGTCAGAGTGGGGCTGCTACACACTGCTATGCAGGCAGTGCACCAGATCAGTCGTGGGTTATTATTTATTAATGATCATGTGAATCATTAGATGGCATTCTATTTGTAATTCTGCCACCAGGGTGTGTTAGACAAGGACACTCATATATTGTGTATTGAAAATCATTATTTATTTTGTTTATAAAAACACAACACAAATAAATATAATAATATCATATATTTGGAATAACATGCAGCACATAGAACACTAGAAATGTTAGGTGTGTATGTGGTCTTAAAGTTATTGGCATTATGTTTCATAGATGTGCAATAATTAGTTATTAGTGACATTATTTATTTATTTAATCCCTAACAGATGTAATGGAAATACAGCTTTCAAACCCCTTAAAATGCACTCACATTTTTCCAAGACATAAAAACTTTGATCAGATAAAAAAACACAAAACCTTTATGAAGAACATCCTGTCTGCTCAGGGGAAGTGGAAACAAAAGGTGCTGCTCTGCTAACCCTCACTTTAACTTCCTGAAAGCCCTCCAGAGGATGACATCAAATATATCAGGCTCGTCTGTTCATCTCTCCATCTGTCTCCAGTCTTCTGCTGCCTGCTCATCAATCCATCCATCCATCCATCCCTCCATTCATCCATCCATCCATTAACCCATCCATCCATCCCTCCATCAATCCACCCATCCATCCATCTATCCCTCCATCCATCTATCCCTCCATCCACCAATCCCTCCATCAACCAATCCCTCCATCCACCAATCCCTCCATCCACCCATCCACCCATCCATCCATCGATCCATCCATCCACCCATCCATCCATCTATCCCTCCATCCACCAATCCCTCCATCCACCCATCCATCCATCTATCCATGCATCCACCCATCCATCTATCCACACATCCATCCATCCATCCACCAATCCATCCATCCATCCATCCATTCATCTATCTATCCCTACATTCATTCATCCATCCATCCATCCCTCCACCCATCCATCCATTCATCCCTCCACCCATCCATCATCTATCCCTCCATCCCTCCATCCATCCATCCATCCATCCATCTATCCCTCCATTCATCCATTAACCCATCCATCAATCCCTCCATCCATCCATCCATCTATTCCTCCATCCATCCATCCATCCATCTATTCCTCCATCCACCAATCCCTCCATCCACCAATCCCTCCATCCACCCATCCATCCATCCACCCATCCATCCATCTATCCCTCTATCCACCAATCCCTCCATCCACCCATCCATCCATCTATCCCTCCATCCATCGATCCATCCATCCACCCATCCATCCATCTATCCATGCATCCATCCATCCATCCATCCATCCACCCATCCATCAATCCCTCCACCCATTCATCCATCCCTCCACCCATCCCTCCATTCATTCCTCAATCCATCAATCCATCCATCCCTCCATCCACTCATCCATCCATCTTCTCGAAAGTCTTGTTTGGTTGCCAGAAATGAAGAGCATCCCATAATGCTTCATTCAGCTACTCAGCTGCTGTCTTCCATGTGTTACAGTACACCTTGTTCATTACATGTAATGATGATCCACTTATATTCAGTGCATGTTGTGCAAACCAATGAAAACATTTTTAATCAGCTAAAAGAATCCAATCCATAGAAATGTTTTGAAATGAGCAGATCAAAGAAAATGGCAGCACTTCCTGTTTGACATGTTTCACATGTTGGTGAATGTTCAACAGATGTTCGTTCTTCTTCTGTATAAGGACCTGAAGATATCACAAGTCAAATCACACTGTGCACAGTTTGTTTCAGTGTCTTTCTATATTTGCATCTGTTGATGAATAATAAATCACACACATTGGGGGTAGCAGGATTTAGGAAAGTTTTAACAAATAGGATTCAAACCTAAGCCTCCAAGAACCCAGAATAAGAGAATAGCAAAAGATCAGAAAGGTTAAAGCAAAGAATTCCTTTCATTTCATCAAAATCAAATCAAAAATGTGCTAAATAAGGTGAAACGTTTCAAGCTTAAACAAGGAGGCTATAACCGTAACTTAGAATGAACTCCACTTTGGGTGACCAAGTGACACTCAACAACTGGGTGAGACTTATTGTAATAAAAACGTAAACTAAATGTTGCCTGATGTTCAAGTGTTCTAGTAAGTATTTTGGCAACACTGTGAGATAATTCAATCTATACTCAAAACAGAGCAAGGAGTATCCAGAACCATGACGGCGACAGTTCACTCAGCTGGTGCTAACCGACCTTTGACACAGGAACCCCTCTATTCTTTGATCCAGTAGGTAAGACTCAGGACATTACTGACATTCATATCTGGTAGGATGGACAGCAGAGGTTAGAACATGACCCATATTTACAGCTTTCAAACGTCACTGGACGTTGATGTTCAACCAAAGCACCACTTAAGGCAGCATTTCCTACATGCTTCGGTTCAAACTTTAGCTGTCATGCTTCTCAGAATGATACGATCCGTGTTTTTTATATCAATGTGGTATGCTCAGAGCTGTTAACCCTTTCTGTCTTCAGGTCGCAGCTTGACGGCTGAATGAAGGACAAGCAGCACATGAGATGTTTGGTTGAACCTGATGTGTGAAAAAACACTTTTTATTTTATTTTGCATTGTAGAAATGGTTTTCATGCTTTGCGCCCTACATGTGTTGATGCTTAAAGATATTTTAAAGAGATGTGGTTTGTATTTTCAGATGTATTATCTGTTATTATTTAGTGACAGTTAAACCCACATGTTCCATCTGCTGTGTGTATTTACGTGAGTGTGAAACTGTGGTCAACCACCACCTTGATGCTGCAGCTTCACTTTCATCTGAAGCACGCTGACCGAGTCCAAATAAAAGTCTGACACTTTAAGTCTAACGTGGTTGTAAATGTCATACATGAGAAGACAGAAAATAACTGTGCCATTAAAGAAGTGTACTGGTGTTTATTCTTTCATGCAAACAGTATTTTCTCAGGGTCTTCTTATCAGCAATCCCGATTCATATTCAACATGTTCAACAAAAACGTCTTTTTGAGTGGACAGTAACGATAGTAGCTCTCAAATGCTTTGAGCTGAATGCTATTACAATGCAAGCTAATATGTTCAAAATTACAATGCTAACATGCTAATGCTAATTAAATCAAATATTTCACTCTTTCTACGAAAAGATGAGTTTCACCATCTGGGGACTGAATGTCTGAACAAAAGCTGAAGTAAACCCTGGACCTTCGAGAAAAGAGTTCTTGATTCTGATTGGCTGGCAGCGGTACATTCTCTCTCTTTCTTTCACACAAACATGACTCAGGTGCGTAGAGTTATAGAAGAGTTCACAAGTGGGAAGGGTTTGAAGGTGGCAGGTTTTTTACTTTTTGTCACAGAAACAAAAGAAAAAGCTTTAAATGAATTAAAAATCAGATCTTCTTTATGGGTTCTCACTGTGAATAAAACGGTTGTTTTAACCTTTAATTTGTGTCCACCATTGGACTCAGGACAATATTTAGCATGTGTTTTCCTTGTGAACATTACTTTGTCTACCAAACAAGGTGTTGGAAATAGACTGGTCACCTTGCTTTGTGTAGCCACGTGCATTTTAAGTCACCAACGCCATTTTCGAATTTCTACCTCCGACATAAAGAAATCTGAGACACTATTCCTGAACAAACCTAATTTAGTATAGCTGGTAATTAATGGGTTAATGTTGGTACAACACTAACAATGAGTTCCCGCTACTGTACAATGACCACACTGCATGAAAAGAAGACACAAAAAAACTTCCATCACACATCTTTAATAAAAATGTGAACTGCTGTTACAGAGAGACAGACATATTTTGCATTGTTGTTGATATAAAAACATTCAGTGGAATATTACAGTTTAAATGTTCATGTTACCATCACAAATATTTGTATTATAGGTCGATATTTTATCCAGATATGAGCAGGAAGTGAAGATCCGCGCTGCACCTGCTGATTGCTTGGGCAGCAAATGATTTGGGTTTTATAGACAATTTTAATCTCGGGTCCTTTTGTAACAGTGACGGTGTTCACACAAACATTATGGGCTCACAGACTTTACGTAAGACAGGTGCTCTATAAATAACGTTGAGATGAGTTGTGGCTCGTGGGTCAGGGTTAGAGAAGACGTGGTCTCAGATGTGAATATTAAATATAGAAAGACACTGAAACAAACTGTGCACAGCATGATTTGACTTGTGATATCTTCATGTCCTTATACAGAAGAAGAACGAACATCTGTTGAACATTCACCAACATGTGAATTAAATATGTGAAACATGTCAAACAGGAAGGGCTGCCATTTTCTTTGATCTGCTCATTTCAAAACATTTCTATGGATTGGATTCTTTTAGCTGATTAAAAATGTTTTCATTGGTTTGCACAACATGCACTGAATATAAGTGGATCATCATTACATATAATGAACAAGGTGCACTATAACACATGGAAGACAGCAGCTGAGTAGCTGAATGAAGCATTATGGGATGCTCTTCATTTCTGGCAACAAAACAAGACTTTCAAGAAAATGTCTGTCTTTGTCGTTCATCCAGTCGTATCCTTTATTTCACTATCTCCATCTCGATTTGAGTGCACGAGGTGCTGTTGTTTACCTGTGGGTTTACCTCGGAGTTTCCCACAGTGGAGCCATCCCAGCAGCACCAGCAGCAAAGCCATCATTACTACAGGAAGAACGTTTCTGAAGATGATGAATGGAAGATCTGAGGACGCATGAATCTCTTGGTGTGACTCTGCAAAGAAGACAGAAATAGAAATAATGCACGCCTTCTCGTGGTGTAAAGTTCGATTACAATTCGCTTGACTCTTTGTCAATATGAGACCACAGATATACTGGGTAACCTACAAAGGGATGAAGAGGATCTGAGCCAAAAATTAGCCTTCTGCTAACTTGAGTACATAAATAAATTAATATTTTATTTTTGTGTCAGGTCATTGATAAGACCCATCCCACATGGAAGTACATTTACATCCATCTGTATGTTGATTAATGTACGCTGTCCTTTTCAAATCAATCAATATACTGTTTCAACACATAGTTATATCACATGTATTTTTAAATTTGATTTGGTAACACTGATGTGTCTCACCTTGGACAGCCATCAGAGCCTCGGCTGATTCTCTTCCTCCAGAGATACACTTGTAGAATCCTTCATCACATTTGGAAACACTGGGGATGCTCATGTTTCCTGTAGAGCTTTTTCTGATAAGGCGGTGATCTTTGTAGAAATCAGCTGAGAGCTTGGTAGAGGTCGTCTTGCGTCTGCAGCGCAGAGTCACAGTCTCTCCTTCCACCACACTGATGGGACTCTCCAGGATCACATCACCAGCTGAACAACATGGGGTTTATATTTTATATCACACAAAGATGAGTACATGTAAGGATCTCGTCTTAATACAAACATACCAGTAACAGTGATGTCGATGATGTCGCTTCTCTTCCCATCTCTGGACTCACACCAGTATTGCCCACTGTCCTCTGGAAAAATAGTAGGAATAGTGCAGGATGACCTTTTTGATGTCACTGTAGTGTTACATTTGACTAATTCCCCTTTGGACCGATGTGCAATTTTCAGTCCAGTCGGGTCATGAGAGCCCTCACAATGGAAGATCAGAGAATCGTATTCAAAGAACTGCAGTCTGTTTGGTTCAAGACGGAGAATCAGTGAATCTGAAACAAACCAAAGAAAGACATGTTCTCTTATTTCATACAAAATACCAAAATGAAGCATTTGAACAACAACATTGAGAAACTGAACGGTACATACCCACATCTTGAACATGTGCACCCAACAGGAATAACACACAGATCACTGGAAAGAAGAAGAGTTGTACGTTAGATCTCATAAAAACAGGTACGGAAATATCTACGAAACAGATAAAGAACCATACTCACACAGCCTGAGGTTAAGAGCACAGACCTCCATGTTGACTCTGAACATATGACTGAAGTGTCCACGAGGTGAGGATTTTTGCTTCTAATGCGATACATGGTTTGTGCTTAGGGTTGAAAATATTTCCCCACAGACCCCTCCTTATGTGTCGCCTCCGCCTCTTCTGGCTGAGAACGCCAGCGGCATTTTCAACTTTTTATCAGACCAGAATAGTTAAACCCTGATGATGCAAACATCTAAAAGAGAACTTATTACATGAATGGTTGGTTATAACCACCTTTTTAATTTATAACTGTATTTGATGAATATCTGCTGTGAAAAAAACAAAACAAGAACAAAGCAAGACCACTGAACATTTTTAAACCAGGAAGTGGCGTTATTGTTTCATTTAATACAGTTAACAGACGTAGAACAGGGCGTCATCTGCATATTGATGAATAATAAATCACAAATTAGAGGTAGCAGGATTTAGGAAAATTTTAACAAATAGGATTCAAACCTAAGCCTCGTAGAACCCAGAATAACAGGATAGCAAGAGGTCAGAAAGGTTAAAGCAAAGAATTCCTTTCATTTAATCAAATTAGTCAAATACTTTAGAAAATGTGCTAAATAAGGTGAAACGTTTCAAGCTTAAACAAGGAGGCTATAGCCGTAGCTTTGACTAAATGGTGCCTGATGTTCAAGTGTTTTGGCAACACTGTGGAATAAATCAATCTATACTCAAAACAGAGCAAGGAGTATCCAGAGTAATGACGGCAACTGTTCGCTCAGCTTGTACCAACCGACCTTTGACACAGGAACCCCTCTATTCTTTGATCAAGTAGATAAGACTCAGGACATTACTGACATTCATATCTGGTAGGATGGACAGCAGAGGTTAGAACATGACCCATATTTACAGCTTTCAAATGTCTATGTCACTGGCCGTTGATGTTCAACCAAAGCACCACTTCAGGCAGCATTTCCTATATGCTTCGGTTCAAACTTTAGCTGTCATGCTTCTCAGAGTGATACGACCCGTGTTTTTTTATATCAATGTGGTATGCTCAGAGCTGTTAACCCTTTCTGTCTTCAGGTCGCAGTGTGATGGCTGACTGAAGGACGAGCAGCACATGAGATGTTTGGTTGAACCTTATTTGTGAAAAAACACTTTTTATTTTATTTTGCATTGCAGAAATGGTTTTCATGCTTTGCGCCCTACATGTGTTGATGTTTAAAGATATATTAAAGAGATGTGGTTTGTATTTTCAGATGTATTATCTGTTATTATTTAGTGACAGTTAAACCCACATGTTCCATCTGCTGTGTGTATTTACGTGAGTTTGAAACTGTGGTCAACCACCACCTTGATGCTGCAGCTTTACTTTCATTTGAAGCACGCTGGCCGAGTCCAAATAAAAAAATGAGTCTGACACTTTAAGTCTAATGTGGTTGTAAATGTCATACATGAGAAGACAGAAAATAACTGTGCCATTAAAGAAGTGTACTGGTGTTTATTCTTTCATGCAAACAGTATTTTCTCAGGGTCTTCTTATCAGCAATCCCGATTCATATTTAACATGTTCAACAAAAACGTGTTTTTGAGTGGACAGTAACGGTAGTAGCTCTCAAATGCTTTGAGCTGAATGCGATTACAATGCAAGCTAATATGTTCAAAATTACCATGCTAACATGCTGACGCTAATTAGATAAAATATTTCACTCTTTCTACGAAAAGAAGAGTTTCACCATCTGGGGACTGAATGTCTGAACAGAATCTGAAGTAAACCCTGGACCTTCGAGAAAAGAGTTCTTGATTCTGATTGGCTGGCAGCGGTACATTCTCTCTCTTTCTTTCACACAAACATGACTCAGGTACGTAGAGTTATAGAAGAGTTCACAAGTGTGAAGGGTTTGAAGGTGGCAGGTTTTTGACTTTTTGTCACAGAAAACAAAGAAAAAGCTTTGAATGAATTAAAAATGAGATCTTCTTAATGGGTTCTCACTGTGAATAAAACGGTTGTTTTAACCTTTAATTTGTATCCACCATTGGACTCAGAAGAATATTTAGCATGTGTTTTCCTTGTGAACATTACTTTGTCTACCAAACAAGGTGTTGGAAATAGATTGGTCACCTTGATTTGTGTAGCCACGACCATTTTCAGTCACCAACGCCATTTTCAAATTTCTACCTCCAACATAAAGAAATCTGAGACACTATTCCTGAACAAACCTAATTTAGTATAGGTGGTTATTAATGGGTTAATGTTGGTACAACACTAACAATGAGTTCCCCCTGCTGTACAATGACCACACTGCATGAAAAGAAGACACAAAAAAATCTTTCATCACACATCTTTAATAAAAATGTGAACTGTTGTTACAGAGAGACAGACGTATTTCACATTGTTGTTGATATAAAAACATCCAGTGGAATATTACAATTGAAATTTTCATGTTACCATCACAAATGTTTGTATAATAGGTCGATATTTTATGCAGAAATGAGCCGGAAGTGAAGCTCTGAGCCCGTTATAGCTGCTTCATCCGGGCTGCTGGTCTCACCACAGTGATCTAACCTTACCCTTAGAACGTCGATTAGCTGACGCCCACATCCTCACAATGTTTCTTTAATCAACTCATTGATTAAAAACAAATGCACGTTGGCCATGAGGGGGAGGAGCAGCACAAATTCCAACATACTTTACGTGTTTATATCAATGTTTTCACATCATAGCAACCCGCTTCGTTCTTTGGCTCAGCCCAATGACGCTAATCTATCAACAGAGGCTTTACCACCACCACAGCAGCTCAGTCAGTGTGAACGTTGTTTTGAAAAAAATCCAAGTGTCAAACTTAGGGTAACATGAGCAGCATAAATAGACCACACAGGAAGAAGCCCCTCCTCAGTTACACTTCAGTTCAGCTTGGTGTTCAGATAGTCAACATGGAGGTCGGCGCGCTCTGCATCAAACTCTGTGAGTACGATTGGTTAAAACTAAAGAGTGTAGTCGTTCAAGGTTAGGATGGAAATGATGGTTTAATGCAGAGGATGCTCTTGGGGCTTGGAAAGACTTTCAGGTTCAAAATATTTATATGAGGTTTTTGGCCTGAAAGATAAAAATGTAAAAGTCAAACATCAAAGGCAGCTTTAGGAGCTGTAAGAATCAGTTGAATATACGACTGTTAAAACACGTCTCACTCAATGTGGAGCTCTTCTCTTTTGTTATTCCAGTGGTCCACGTGTTATTCCTGCTGTGTGCACATGTCCAGGACGTTGGTAAGTACCAGGTTGGTGCTTAGTTGTATTTTAACTTCAGTTGGTACTTTCTGGTGAAATAAGAGAACATGTCTTTCTTTGGTTTGTTTCAGATTCACTGATTCTCCATCTTGAACCAAACAGACTGCAGTTCTTTGAATACGAGTCTCTGATCTTCCATTGTGAGGGCTCTCATGACTCGACTGGATTAAAAATTGTACATCAGTCCAAAGGGGAATTAGTCAAATGTCAAACTACAGTGACATCAAAAAGGTCATCCTGCACTATTCCTAATATTTTTCCAAAGGACAGTGGGCAATACTGGTGTGAGTCCAGAGATGGGAAGAGAAGCGACATCATCCACATCAATGTTACTGGTATGTTTGTATTAAGACGAGATCTTTACATACACTCATCTTTGTGTGATATAAAATATGAACCCCATGTTGTTCAGATGGTCCTGTGATCCTGGAGAGTCCCATCAGTGTGGTGGAGAGAGAGGCTGTGACTCTGCGCTGCAGACGCAAGACGACCTCATCCAATCTCTCAGCTGATTTCTACAAAGATGGCCGCCTTATCAGAAGAAGCTCTACAGGAAACCTGAGCATCCCCAGTGTTTCCAAATGTGATGAAGGATTCTACAAGTGTATCTCTGGAGAAAGAGAATCAGCCGAGAGTCTGATGGCTGTCCAAGGTGAGACACATCAGTGTTACCAAATCAAATTTAAAAATACATGTGATATAACTATGTGTTGAAACAGTATATTGATTGATTTGAAAAGGACAGCGTACATTAATCAACATACAGATGGATGTAAATGTACTTCCATGTGAGATGGGTCTTATAAATGACCTGACACGAAAATAAAATATTAATCTATTTATGTACCCAAGTTAGCCAAAGGCTAATTTTTGGCTCACATCCTCTTCATCCCTTTGTAGTTTACCCAGTGAATCTGTGGTCTCATATTGACAATGATTCAAGAGAATTATGCTGGAACTTTACACCACTGTTAGTGGTATGTTTGCATTAAGACAAGATCTTTACATGCACTCATCTTTGTGTGATATAAAATATGAACCCCATGTTGTTCAGATGGTCCTGTGATCCTGGAGAGTCCCATCAGTGTGGTGGAGGGAGAGGCTGTTACTCTGCGCTGCAGACACAAGACGACCTCAGCCAATCTCTCAGCTGATTTCTACAAAGATGGCCACCTTATCAGAACAAGCTCTGCAGGAAATATGAGCATCCCCAGTGTTTCCAAACGTGATGAAGGATTCTACAAGTGTATCTCTGGAGGTAGAGAATCAGCCGAAAGTCTGATGGCTGTCCAAGGTGAGACACATCAGTGTTACCAAATCAAATTTAAAAATACATGTGATATAACTATGTGTTGAAACAGTATTATGATTGATTTGAAAAGGACAGTGTACATTAATCAACATACAGACGGATGTAAATGTACTTCCATGTGGGATGGGTCTTATAAATGACCTGACACAAAAATAAAATATAAATTTATTTATCTACCCAAGTTAGCAGAAGGCTAATTTTTGGATTACATCCTCTTCATCCCTTTGTAGGTTACCCAGTGAATCTGTGGTCTCATAGAGACAATGATTCAAGAGTTTTAACAAACTTTTATTGTGCACGATTAAACTGCATACCTTACATTAATATTAAAAGTTGAAATGTTCAGGTTTAAAATCTTAATTTTTCTTCTAATCTGTCAATCCATCCAAACCTAAAGTCCTCTGTCATTGTTTACTCGATTACTTTGTGATTACATTCCAGAAATCCAGGGAGAGAATGCCTCATCCTGTTCTACCCCATGGATAGTTATGACTGTTTTATCGATTCTGTTGTTGCTGGTTGGACTTCTTCATTTCGGCAAATATATTCAGAACAAAGGTACAAACACATTTTACTAATTAGAGGCACTTATAGTGATTGATGGGTCACAGTCCCCGTGGAATATTTGCATTTTACATTTGTTGAATGTATTTAATGGATGAATGGGCCAGTTAATAACAGTGGGGTCTTGAACACAATTTATGGATTCTAAAGGACCTGACACACCAAGGAGATCGTCGGCCGTCAGTCCTAGTTGCAAATTGCACATTTTTAAACCAGGAAGTGGCGTTATAATTTTATTATGTCTCAATGTCTTCCTGTTTTCCTGTTCATAGTGTTTTTTTTATTTCACGCACTGCAGTGTTGCTGTACTTGTCCACACTGTCCTCATTACAAAAAGACAAATTATTTAATCACATTAATTGAAAGTTCATGTTCTTTGGAGAAAGAGAAAATGTTCAGTTTGTGGATATGATTGCTCGAAGGCCTGTGTACTGTATCGATGTGGATTCTTATCACACATTTGTATTTTCAGTCACTGTTGAGGCCCGTCGAGTGGCAGCAGATGCACCAAGCGACCAAGCGATGTATGCTGCGATTACAAAAGACAGGACAAAGAGAGGTACCTCATCTGACAGTATATCCTGTCACAGTTCATTTCACAGTCATGATGCTCCATCCTATGTCTTGATCTTAAACTCCTTTCTTCTTGAACCTGGTGTAGTTTAACAACATTAAATGACTGCTTCATGAGTCTGTATCTCAAGGCCTTGAAATGGACAGAAATAATGTTTTGATATCCTTTATTAATCCCTGAGGGAAATACAACATACCTATGATACATACATGGTCTAAAATGATGTTGAAAACTTTAAGTAGTGTTATTTTATCTCTTTGGTAAAGTCATAATGGTAAAGTTCTTCACTGAGAAACAAAAACAGCTCATTTCTATATGAGAATTAAAGTAGTCATAAAGGTGATATCAGCTGCAGACATATTCTCCGATAAAGTCTACAGAGAAATGAAAAGTACACTTCAGGTTCAAACACTGAGACTATGCATAACATAGCACTTTGTAAACTACAAATAAAGTTATCATTATTGATTATTGTTACTTAAAAAGTCAATTATTCTAGCTTGGATTTAATGCCTAATGATTTAATACAGTTAACAGACATATAACAGGGCGTCATCTGCATATTGATGAATAAAAAATCACACACATTAGAGGAAGCAGGATTTAGGAAAGTTTTAACAAATAGGATTCAAACCTAAGCCTCCAAGAACCCAAAATAACAGGATAGCAAAAGATCAGAAAAGTTAAAGCAAAGAATTCCTTTCATTTCATCAAAATCAAATCAAAAATGTGCTAAATAAGGTGAAACGTTTTAAGCTTAAACAAGGAGGCTATAACCGTAGCTTAGACTAAACTCCACTTTGGGTGACCCAGGTGACACTCAAGAAATTGGTTTAGACTTATTGTAATAAAAACGTAAACTAAATGGTGCCTGATGTTCAAGTGTTCTAGTAAGTATTTTGGTGACACTGTGGGATAATTCAGTCTATACTCAAAACAGAGCAAGGAGTATCCAGAATCATGATGGCGACAGTTCACTCAGCTGGTACCAACCGACCTTTGACACAGGAACCCCTCTATTCTTTGATCCAGTAGGTAAGACTCAGGACATTACTGACATTCATATCTGGTAGGATGGACAGCAGAACTTCGAACATGACCCATATTTACAGCTTTCAAACGTCTATGTCACTGGACGTTGATGTTCAACCAAAGCACCACTTGAGGCAGCATTTCCTACATGCTTCGGTTCAAACTTTTGCTGTCATGCGTCTCAGAATGATACGACCCGTGTTTTTTTACATTAACTGTGGTATGCTCAGAACTGTTAACCCTTTCTGTCTTCAGGTCGCAGTGTGACTGCTGAATGAAGGACGAGCAGCACATGAGACGTTTGGTTGAACCTGATCTGTGAAAAAACACTTTTTATTTTATTTTGCATTGTAGAAATGGTTTTCATGCTTTGCGCCCTACATGTGTTGATGTTTAAAGATATATTAAAGAGATGTGGTTTGTATTTTCAGATGTATTATCTGTTATTATATAGTGACAGTTAAACCCACATGTTCCATCTGCTGTGTGTATTTTCGTGAGTGTGAAACTGTGGTCAACCACCACCTTGATGCTGCAGCTTCACTTTCATCTGAAGCACGCTGACCGAGTCCAAATAAAGAAATGAGTCTGACACTTTAAGTCTAACGTGGTTGTCAATGTCATACATGAGAAGAAAGAAAATAACTGTGCCATTAAAGAAGTGTACTGGTGTTTATTCTTTCATGCAAACAGTATTTTCTCAGGATCTTCTTATCAGCAATCCCGATTCATATTCAACATGTTCAACAAAAACGTCTTTTTGAGTGGACAGTAACAGTAGTAGCTCTCAAATGCTTTGAGCTGAATGCGATTACAATGCAAGCTAATATGTTCAAAATTACCATGCCAACATGCTAATGCTAATTAGGTCCCAATATTTCACTGTCTCTACGAAAAGATGACTTTCACCATCTGGGGACTGAATGTCTGAACAGAATCTGAAGTAAACCCAGGACCTTCGAGAAAAGAGTTCTTGATTCTGATTGGCTGGCAGCGGTACGTAGAGTTATAGAAGAGTTCACAAGTGTGAAGGTTTTGAAGGTGGCAGGTTTTTGACTTTTGTCACAGAAAAAAAAGAAAAAGCTTTAAATGAATTAAAAATCAGATCTTCTTTTTGGGTTCTCACTGTGAATAAAAAGATTGTTTTAACCTTTAATTTGTATCCACCATTGGACTGAGAAGAATATTTAGCCTGTGTTTTCCTTTGTGAACATTACTTTGTCTACCAAACAAGGTGTTGGAAATAGATTGGTCACCTTGCTTTTTGTTGCCACGAGCATTTTAAGTCACCAAAGCTGTTTTCGAATTCCTACCTCCAACATAAAGAAATCTGAGACACTATTCCTGAACAAACCTAATTTAGTATAGCTGGTTATTAATGGGTTAATGTTGGTACAACACTAACAATGAGTTCCCCCTGCTGTACAATGACCACACTGCATGAAAAGAAGACACAGAAAAAACTTCCATCACACATCTTTAATAAAAATGTGAGCTGCTGTTACAGAGAGGCAGACATATTTTGTATTGTTGTTGATATAAAAACATTCAGTGGAATATTACAGTTGAAAAGTTCATGTTACCATCACAAATGTTCGTATTATAGGTCGATATTTTATTAAGATATGAGCAGGAAGTGAAGCTCTGCGCTGCACCTGCTGATTGCTTGGGCAGCACATGATGTGGGTTTTATAGACAATTTTAATCTCGGGTCCTTTTGTAAAAGTGACAGTGTTCACACAAACATTATGGGCTCACAGACTTTACGTATGACAGATGCTCTATAAATAACGCTGAGATGAGTTGCGGCTCGTGGGTCAGGGTGAGAGAAGACGTGCTCTCAGATGTGAATATTAAATATAGAAAGACACTGAAACAAACTGTGCACAGTGTTATTTGACTTGTGATATCTTCAGGTCCTTATACAGAAGAAGAACGAACATCTGTTGAACATTCACCAACATCTGAATTAAATATGTGAAACCTGTCAAACAGGAAGTGTGCCATTTTCTTTGATCTGCTCATTTCAAAACATTTCTGTGGATTGGATTCTTTAAGCTGATTAAAAATGTTTTCATTGGTTTGCACAACATGCACTGAATATAAGTGGATCATCATTACATGTAATGAACAAGGTGCACTGTAACACATGGAAGACAGCAGCTGAGTAGCTGAATGAAGCATTATGGGATGCGCTTCATTTCTGGCAACCAAACAAGACTTTGGAGAAAATGTCTGTCTTTGTCGTTCATCCTGTCGTATCCTTTATTTCACTAGCTCCATCTCGATTTGAGTGCACGAGGTGCTGTTGTTTAGCTGTGGGTTTACCTCGGAGTTCCCCACAGTGGAGCCATCCCAGCAGCACCAGCAGCAAAGCCATCATTACTACAGGGAGAACGTTTCTGAAGATGATCAACGGAAGATCTGAGGACGCACGACTCTCTTGGTGTGACTCTGCAAAGAAGACAAATAGAAATAATGCACGCCTTCTTGTGGTGTAAAGTTCTAGCACAATTCTCTTGAATCATTGCCAATATGAGACCACAGATTCACTGGGTAACCTACAAAGGGATGAAGAGGATGTGAGCCAAAAATGTGCCTTCTGCTATCTTGGGTACATGAATAAATTAATATTTTATTTTCGTGTCAGATCATTTATAAGACCCATCCCACATGGAAGTACATTTACATCCGTCTGTATGTTGATTAATGTACGCTGTCCTTTTCAAATCAATCAATATACTGTTTCAACACATAGTTATATCACATATATTTTTAAATTTGATTTGGAAAACACTGATGTGTCTCACCTTGGACAGCCATCAGACTCTCGGCTGATTCTCTTCCTCCAGAGATACACTTGTAGAATCCTTCATCACGTTTGGAAACACTGGAGATGCTCAGGTTTCCTGCAGAGCTTGTTCTGATAAGGCGGCCATCTTTGTAGAAATCAGCTGAGAGATTGGATGAGGTTGTCTTGCGTCTGCAGTGCAGAGTCACAGCCTCTCCCTCCACCACACTGATGGGACTCTCCAGGATCACAGGATCAACTGAACAACATGGGGTTCATATTTTATATCACAGAAAGATGAGTGCATGTAAAGAGCTCGTCTTAATGCAAACATACCAGTAACATTGATGTAAAGTTCGAGCATAATTCTCTTGAATCATTGTCAATATGATACCATAAATTCACTGGGTAAATTATAAAGGGATGAAGAGGATGTGAGCCAAAAATTAGACTTCCGCTAACTTGGGTACATGAATGAATGAATATTTTATTTTTGTGTCAGGTCATTTATAAGACCCATCCCACATGGAAGTACATTTACATCCGTCTGTATGTTGATTAATGTACGCTGTCCTTTTCAAATCAATCAATATAATCTGCTTCAGGTTCAACACATAGTTATATCACATGCATTTTTCAATTTGATTTGGTAACACTGATGTGTCTTACCTTGGACAGCCATCAGACTCTCGGCTGATTCTCTTCCTCCATAGATGCTACACTTGTAGAATCCTTCATCACGTTTGGAAACACTGGGGATGCTCATGTTTCCTGCAGAGCTTCTTCTGATAAGGCGGCCATCTTTGTAGAAATCAGCTGAGAGATTGGTAGAGGTCGTCTTGTGTCTGCAGCGCAGAGTAACAGCCTCTCCCTCCACCACACTGATGGGACTCTCCAGGATCACAGGACCATCTGAACAACATGGGGTTCATATTTTATATCACACAAAGATGAGTGCATGTAAAGATCTCGTCTTAATGCAAACATACCAGTAACATTGATGTGGATGATGTCGCTTCTCTTCCCATCTCCGGACTCACACCAGTATTGCCCACTGTCCTCTGGAAAAATAGTAGGAATAGTGCAGGATGACCTTTTTGATGTCACTGTAGTTTGACATCTGAGTAATTCCCCTTTGGACCGATGTACAATTTTCAATCCAGTCGGGTCATGAGAGCCCTCACAATGGAAGATCAGAGACTCGTATTCAAAGAACTGCAGTCTGTTTGGTTCAAGACGGAGAATCAGTGAATCTGAAACAAACCAAAGAAAGACATGTTTTCTTATGTCATACAAAATACCAAAATGAAGCATTTGAACAATAACAAGAACAAAACAAGACCATAAATAAAGTTATTATTACTGTAACTTTAAAAGTAAATTTTTTCAAGCTTGGATTTAATGCTTAATCATTTAATACAGTTAACAGACACAGAATAGTGCGTCATCTGCATATTGATGAATAAAAAATCACACACATGAGCGGTAGCAGGTTTTAGGAAAGTTTTAACAAATAGGATTGAAACCTAAGCCTCCAAGAACCCAAAATAACAGGATAGCAAAAGATGAGTACGTGTAAAGATCTCGTCTTAATGCAAACATACCAGTAACAGTGATATGGATGATGTCGCTTCTCTTCCCATCTCCGGACTCACACCAGTATTGCCCACTGTCCTCTGGAAAAAGATTAGGAATAGTGCAGGTTGACCTTTTTGATGTCACTGTAGTTTGACATTTCACTAATTCCCCTTTGGACCGATGTACAATTTTCAATCCAGTCAGGTCATGAGAGCCCTCACAATGGAAGATCAGAGACTCGTATTTAAAGAACTGCAGTCTGTTTGGTTCAAGACGGAGAATCAGTGAATCTGAAACAAACCAAAGAAAGATATGTTCTCTTATGTCATACAAAATACCAAAATGAAGCATTTGAACAATAATATTGAGAAACTGAACGGTACATACCCACATCTTGAACATTTACACCCAGCAGGAATAACACAAAGATCACTGGAAAGAAGAGGAGTTGTACGTTAGATCTAATAAAAACAGGTACAGAAATATTTATGAAACAGATAAAGAATCATACTCACACAGCCTGATGTTAAGAGCACAGACCTCCATGTTGACTCTCTGAACATATGACTGAAGTGTCCACGAGGTGAGGATTTTTGCTTCTAATGCGATACATGGTTTGTGGTTAGGGTTGAAAATATTTCCCCACAGACCCCTCCTTATGTGTCGCCTCCACCTCTTCTGGCTGAGAACGCCAGCGCCATTTTCAAATTTTTATTAGACCAGAATAGTTAAACTCTGATGATGCAAACATCCAAAACAGAACTTATTATGTGAATGGTTGGTTATAACAACCTTTTTAATTTATAACTGTATTTGACGAATATCTGCTGTGAAAAAACAAAACAAGAACAAAGCAAGACCACTGAACATTTTTAAACCAGGAAGTGGCGTTATTGTTTCATTTAATACAGTTAACAGACATAGAACAGGGCGTCATCTGCATATTGATGAATAATAAATCGCACATTAGAGGTAGCAGGATTTAGGAAAGTTTTAACAAATAGGATTCAAACCTAAGCCTCGTAGAACCCAGAATAACAGGATAGCAAGAGGTCAGAAAGGTTAACGCAAATAATTCCTTTCATTTAATCAAATTAGTCAAATACTTTAGAAAATGTGCTAAATAAGGTGAAACGTTTCAAGCTTAAACAAGGAGGCTATAGCTGTAGCTTAGACTAAATGGTGCCTGATGTCCAAGTTTTCTAGTAAGTATTTTGGCAACACTGTGGAATAATTCAATCTATACTCAAAACAGAGCAAGGAGTATCCAGAGTAATGACGGCAACTGTTAGCTCAGCTTGTACCAACCGACCTTTGACACAGGATCCCCTCTATTCTTTGATCCAGTAGGTAAGACTCAGGACATTACTGACATTCATATCTGGTAGGATGGACAGCAGAGGTTAGAACATGACCCATATTTACAGCTTTCAAACGTCTATGTCACTGGACGTTGATGTTCAACCAAAGCACCACTTAAGGCAACATTTCCTACATGCTTCGGTTCAAACTTTAGCTGTCATGCTTCTCAGAATGATACGACCCGTGTTTTTTTATATCAATGTGGTATGCTCAGAGCTGTTATCCCTTTCTGTCTTCAGGTCGCAGTGTGATGGCTGACTGAAGGACGAGCAGCACATGAGATGTTTGGTTTAACCTTATTTGTGAAAAAACACTTTTTATTTAATTTTGCATTGTAGAAATGGTTTTCATGCTTTGCGCCCTACATGTGTTGATGTTTAAAGATATATTAAAGAGATGTGGTTTGTATTTTCAGATGTATTATCTGTTATTATATAGTGACAGTTAAACCCATATGTTCCATCTGCTGTGTGTATTTACGTGTGTGAAACTGTGGTCAACCACCACCTTGATGCTGCAGCTTCACTTTCATCTGAAGCACGCTGACCGAGTCCAAATAAAAAAATGAGTCTGACACTGTAAGTCTAATGTGGTTGTAAATGTCATACATGAGAAGACAGAAAATAACTGTGCCATTAAAGAAGTGTACTGGTGTTTATTCTTTCATGCAAACAGTATTTTCTCAGGGTCTTCTTATCAGCAATCCTGATTCATATTCAACATGTTCAACAAAAACCAGCAGGACTTGGAAAACGCTGAAAGTCGTCCATATTGTTGCTGTAAAACTGTGTGGACGGTTCTATTGCAGTTTGTTTCAGGCTCACAGCAGCAACACCTGACCATCAAATGAGCAAATTGACCGAAGGATGAGGGCTTATAGTTTCAGCCTGCAGGTGTGTCTGCAGATATCTTGTGTTTATATTTTTAAAAGCTGACCTTTTTATTTCAAACTGCCTGACTTTACGTGTTTGTATCAATGTTTTCACATCATAGCAGTCCGCTTCGTTCTTTGGCTCCGCCCAATGACGCTAATCTATCAACTGAGGTGTTACCACCACCACAGCAGCTCAGTTAGTGTGAACTTCATTTTCAAAAAAAATCTAAGTGTCAAACTTAGGAGAACATGAGCAGCATAAATAGGCTACACAGGAAGAAGCCCCTCCTCCGTTACACTTCAGTTCAGCTTGGTGTTCAGACAGTCAACATGGAGGTCGGCACGCTCTGCATCAAACTCTGTGAGTACGATTGGTTAAAACTGAAGAGTCTATTCTATAAGAATCAGTTGAATATACGACTGTTAAAACGCGTCTCACTCAATGTGGAGCTCTTCTCTTCTGTTATTCCAGTGGTCCACGTGTTATTCCTGCTGTGTGCACATGTTCAGGACGTTGGTAAGTACCAGGTTGATGCTTAGTTGTATTTTAACTTCAGTTGGTACTTTCTGGTGAAATAAGAGATCATGTCTTTCTTTGGTTTGTTTCAGATTCACTGATTCTCCATCTTGAACCAAACAGACTGCAGTTCTTTGAATACGAGTCTCTGATCTTCCATTGTGAGGGCTCTCATGACCTAACTGGATTGAAAATTGTACATCGGTCCAAAGGGGAATTACTCAGATGTAAAACTACAGTGACATCAAAAAGGTCATCCTGTACTATTCCTAATATTTTTCCACAGGACAGTGGGCAATACTGGTGTGAGTCCAGAGATGGGAAGAGAAGTGACATCATCCACATCACTGTTACTGGTATGTTTGTATTAAGAAGAGATCTTTACATGCACTCATCTTTGTGTGATATAAAATATAAAGCTCATGTTGTTCAGCTGGTGATGTGATCCTGGAGAGTCCCATCAGTGTGGTGGAGGGAGAGGCTGTTACTCTGCGCTGCAGACACAAGACGACCTCTACCAATCTCTCAGCTGATTTCTACAAAGATGGCCACCTTATCAGAAGAAGCTCTACAGGAAACATGAGCATCCCCAGTGTTTCCAAACGTGATGAAGGATTCTACAAGTGTATCTCTGGAGGAAGAGAATCAGCCGAGAGTCTGATGGCTGTCCAAGGTGAGACACATCAGTGTTACCAAATCAAATTGAAAAATATGTGTGAGATAACTATGTGTTGAAACAGTATATTGATTGATTTGAAAAGGACAGTGCACATTAATCAACATACAGACGGATGTAAATGTACTTCCATGTGAGATGGGTCTTATAAATGACCTGACACAAAAATAAAATAATAATTTATTCATGTACCCAAGTTAGCCAAATGCTAATTTTTGGCTCACATCCTCTTCATCCCTTTGTAGGTTACCCAGTGAATCTGTGGTCTCATATTGACAATGATTCAAGAGTTTTAACAAACTTGAATTGTTTGTTAAAATCTTAATTTTTTTTCTAATCTTTCAATCAATCCAAAACTAAAATCCTCTGTCATTGTTTCTCTTAATACTTTGTAATTATATTCCAGAAATCCAGGGAGAGAATGTCTCATCCTGTTCTACCCCTTGGATAGTTATGACTGTTTTATCGATTCTGTTGTTGCTGGTTGGACTTCTTCATTTCGGCAAATACATTCGGAACAAAGGTACAAACACATTTCACTAACGAGAGGCGCTTATAGCGATTGATGGGTCACAGTCCATGTGGAATATTTGCATTTTACGTTTGTTTAATTTATTTAATGGATGAATGGGCCAGTTAATAACAGTGGGGTCTTGAACACAGCTTATGGATTCTAAAGACCCTGTCACACCAAGGAGATCGTCGGCCGTCAGTCCTAGTTGCAAATTGCACATATTTAAACCAGGAAGTGGCGTTATTCTTTCATCATGTCTCAATGTCTTCCTGGTTTCCTGTTCATAGTGTTTTTTTTCATTTCATGCACTACAGTGTTGCTGTACTTGTCCACACTGGCACCTCAATCAGGCACAGCTGAGGTTCAAACAGGTAAGAACAGGTACCATTAGCATGTTCAGGTAAACTTGCACTTAAAACAAAGGAGTGATAGATTTTTTAAAAAGCAGCCTGCTAGTCTTATCGACGATAATCAGAGCAAATGTCCTTTGAAGTGTGAAAAGGGAAATCTATTGTCCTTTAGTCCTCATTAGAAAAAGACAATTTATTTAATCACATTAATTTAAAACTCATGTTCTTTGGAGAAAGAGAAAATGCTTAGTTTGTGGATATGATTGCTCGACTTGGAAATTGACATAGATTTTTAATGCCTGTGTACTTTATTGATGTGGATTCTTATCACACATTTGTATTTTCAGTCACTGTTGAGGCACGTCGAGTGGCAGCAGATGCACTAAGTGACCAAGCGATGTATGCTGCGATTACCAAAGACAGAAAAAAGAGAGGTACCTCACTTGACAGTTTATCCTGTCACAGTTCATTTCACAGTCACGGTTCTCCATCCTATGTCTTGATCTTAAACTCCTTTCTTCTTGAAAGAGAAAATGTCCAGTTTGTGGATATAATTGTTCGACTTTGAAATCTTTATATATTTTGAATACCTGTGTAATGTATCGATGTGGATTCTTATCACACATTTGTATTTTCAGTCACTGTTGAGGCCCGTCGAGTGGCAGGAGATGCACCAAGCGACCAAGCAATGTATGCTGCGATTACAAAAGACAGGACAAAGAGAGGTACCTCACCTGACAGTTTATCCTGTCACGGTTCATTTCACATTCACGATTCTCCATCCTATGTCTTGATCTGAAACACCTTTCCTCTTGAACCTGGGGTAGTTTAACAACATTAAATGGCTACTTCATGAGTCTGTATCTCAAGGCCATATTTTTTTCATATCCTTTATTAATCCCTGAGGGAAATACAACATACATACAAAACATACATGGTCTAAAATGATGTCTAAGACTTTAGGGAGGGTTGTTTGATCTTTTTAAATATAACGGTAAAGTTCTTCACTGAGAAATAAAAACAGCTTATTTCTATATGAGATTTAAAGTAGTCGTCAAGGTGAATTCAGCTGCAGACATATTCTCTGATAAAGTCTACAGAGAAGTGAAAAGTACACTACTGATTCAAACACTGAGAATATGCATAATATAGCACTTTTTAAACTACAAATAAAGTTATTATTATTGATTATTGTAACTTAAAAAGTCAATTATCCAAGCTTGGATTTAATGTCTAATGGTTTAATACAGTTAACAGACATAGAACAGGGCGTCATCTGCATATTGATGAATAATAAATCACACACATTGGGGGTAGCAGGATTGAGGAAAGTTTTAACAAATAGGATTCAAACCTAAGCCTCGTAGAACCCAAAATAACAGGATAGCAAAAGATCAGAAAGGTTAAAGCAAAGAATTCCTTTCATTTCATCAAAATGTTCAAATACTTTAGAAAATGTGTTAAATAAGGTGAAATGTTTCAAGCTTAAACAAGGAGGCTATAACCGTAGCTTAGACTAAACTCCACTTTGGGTGACCCAGGTGACACTCAAGAAATTGGTTTAGACTTATTGTAATAAAAACGTAAACTAAATGGTGCCTGATGTTCAAGTGTTCTAGTAAGTATTTTGGTGACACTGTGGGATAATTCAATCTATACTCAAAACAGAGCAAGGAGTATCCAGAACCATGACGGCGACAGTTCACTCAGCTGGTACCAACCGACCTTTGACACAGGAACCCCTCTATTCTTTGATCCAGTAGGTAAGACTCAGGACATTACTGACATTCATATCTGGTAGGATGGACAGCAGAGGTTAGAACATAACCCATATTTACAGCTTTCAAACGTTTATGTCACTGGACGTTGATGTTCAACCAAAGCACCACTTAAGGCAGCATTTCCTACATGCTTTGGTTCAAATTTTAGCTGTCATGCTTCTCAGAATGATACGACCCGTGTTTTTTTACATTAACTGTGGTATGCTCAGAGCTGTTAACCCTTTCTGTCTTCAGGTCGCAGCGTGACTGCTGAATGAAGGACGAGCAGCACATGAGATGTTTGGTTGAACCTGATGTGTGAAAAAACACTTTTTATTTTATTTTACATTGTAGAAATTGTTTTCATGGTTTGCGCCCTACATTTGTTGATGTTTAAAGATATATTAAAGAGATGCGGTTTGTATTTTCAGATGTATTATCTGTTATTATTTAGTGACAGTTAAACCCACATGTTCCATCTGCTGTGTGTATTTACGTGTGAGTGTGAAACTGTGGTCAACCACCACCTTGATGCTGCAGCTTCACTTTCAACTGAAGCACGCTGACCGAGTCCAAATAAAAAAATGAGTCTGACACTTTAAGTCTAACGTGGTTGTAAATGTCATAAATGAGAAGACAGAAAATAACTGTGCCATTAAAGAAGTGTACTGGTGTTTATTCTTTCATGCAAACAGTATTTTCTCAGGGTCTTCTTATCAGCAATCCTGATTCATATTCAACATGTTCAACAAAAACGTCTTTTTGAGTGGACAGTAATGGTAGTAGCTCTCAAATTCTTTGAACTGAATGCTATTATAATGCAAGCTAATATGTCCAAAATTACAATGCTAACATGCTAATGCTAATTAGATCAAATATTTCACTTTTTCAACGAAAAGATGAGTTTCACCATCTGGGGAGTGAATGTCTGAACAGAATCTGAAGTAAACCCAGGACCTTCATGAAAAGAGTTCTTGATTCTGATTGGCTGGCAGCGGTACATTCTCTCTTTTCTTTCACACAAACATGACTCAGGTACGTAGAGTTATAGAAGAGTTCACCAGTGTGAAGGGTTTGAAGGTGGCAGGTTTTTGACTTTTTGTCATAGAAAAAAAGAAAAAGCTTTAAATGAATTAAAAATCAGATCTTCTTTATGGGTTCTCACTGTGAATAAAACAGTTGTTTTAACCTTTAAGTTGTATCCACCACTGGACTGAGAAGAATATTTAGCATGTGTTTTCCTTTGTGAACATTACTTTGTCTACCACAGAAGCTGTTGGAAATAGATTGGTCACCTTGCTTTGATTGTAGTCACGACCATTTTCAGTCACCAACGCCATTTTGGAATTTCTACCTCCAACTTAAAGAAATCTGAGACACTATTCCTGAACAAACCTAATTTAGTATAGCTGGTTATTAATGGGTTATTGTTGGTACAACACTAATAATGAGTTCCCCCTGCTGTACAACGACCACACTGCATGAAAAGAAGACACAAAAAAAACTTCCATCACACATCTTTAATAAAAATGTGAACTGCTGTTACAGAGAGGCAGACATGTTTTGTATTGTTGTTGATCTAAAAACATTCAGTGGAATATTACAGTTGAAAAGTTCATGTTACCATCACAAATGTTCGTATAATAGGTCGATATTTTATGTAGATATGAGCAGGAAGTGAAGCTCTGAGCTGCACGTGCTGATTGCTTGGGCAGCACATGATTTGGGTTTTAAAGACAATTTTAATCTCGGGTCCTTTTTTAACAGTGACGGTGTTCACACAAACATTATGGGCTCACAGACTTTACGTATGACAGGTGCTCTATAAATAACGCTGAGATGAGTTGTGGCTCGTGGGTCAGGGTGAGAGAAGACGTGCTCTCAGATGTGAATATTAAATATAGAAAGACACTGAAACAAACTGTGCACAGCATGATTTGACTTGTGATATCGTCACGTCCTTATACAGAAGAAGAACGAACATGTGTTGAACATTCATCAACAAGTGAATTAAATATGTGAAACATGTCAAACAGGAAGTGCTGCCATTTTCTTTGATCTGCTCATGTCAAAACATTTCTATGGATTGGATTCTTTAAGCTGATTAAAAATGTTTTCATTGGTTTGCACAACATGCACTGAATTTAAGTGGATCATCATTACATATAATGAACAAGGTGCACTGTAACACATGGAAGACAGCAGCTGAGTAGCTGAATGAAGCATTATGGGATGCTCTTCATTTCTGGCAACCAAACAAGACTTTGGAGAAAATGTCTGTCTTTGTCGTTCATCCTGTCGTATCCTTTATTTCAGTATCTCCATCTCGATTTGAGTGCACGAGGTGTTGTTGTTTACCTGTGGGTTTACCTCAGAGTTTCCCACAGTGGAACCATCCCAGCAGCACCAGCAGCAAAGCCATCATTACTACAGGAAGAACGTTTCTGAAGATGATCAACGGAAGATCTGAGGACGCACGACTCTCTTGGTGTGACTCTGCAAAGAAGACAAATAGAAATAATGCACGCCTTCTTGTGGTGTAAAGTTCTAGCACAATTCTCTTGAATCATTGCCAATATGAGACCACAGATTCACCGGGTAACCTACAAAGGGATGAAGAGGATGTGAGCCAAAAATTAGCCATCCGCTAACTTGGGTACATGAATGAATGAATAATTGTGACCTGCTCCATAATTTTGAGTCACTTTAACCCAGAAACATATTTTGAGTTTTCTGCATGGCTGTAAAGAGGAAAGTCTCAGCTTCATGGCAATACAAAAAATATTTTTTCTAATCCAGATATTCTACGAGATACAGTCTTCCAAATGTCGACTGTCACCAAACCTTGTCATTGAGAAAAAGAGCACTAAAGACAACAATCAAAATTCCGCCATTTTCCAAATGAATTGAAATAGATTTATAAAAAATCAATTCAATTTAAAGTGCTTTACATAAAACATTCAAAACATTGTGACAAAGTGCACAGAAACACATAAAAGGACTTAAATACAATTAGAAAAAATTATCATTAAGGAGCCCAGATTATCGAAAATAAAAACAAGCTAAAATAGAATAAGACAGGTACTAAAAGTTACAGTGCAAGAAATGAATAAATAATTTGATAACACGTCCAATCATTAAAAACAATTACCGTATTGGCCCGAATATAAGACGGCCTTTTCCCCCATCAAAATAGGTCTGAAAAAGTCGGGTCGTCTTATATTCGGGGTCTAGTATTCAGAGCGCAGCTCTAATTATTCGCTTGTCCCTTTAAATGTCAATACACATTGCGGCCCCAGATGGCGCCAAAAATCTGTCAAGCGAGTGTTCCAGGAAAAAACAGTCCAGCGTCCTTAGCAACCAGCCTTTGATGATTTTTAAGGAGTGGGAATAATAATGTAGAAGAGTATTTAATATGACTATTTTAAACAATTATGTACAATGTAATCAATCTAGTGTTATTTAATTAGCACATCTGAGCCTTGTATTTCCGCCACACTGATGTCATGGTCTCTGTTGTGGGAAGCGCCTGGATGTCAGACCTTTTGAAACCGGGGATGTGCCCAGGGAGTGGCATGGCGTGGACGTCAGCAAAATTTACCATGAACTGCTTCAGTCGTTGGATGTCCTGAACAGTCAGCAGCCTCCTGCTCAAAACACGCCCACCAGACCTTTTCATCCTTGGTGCCAATCCATATTGTTTATAACATTTTATAAGTTGGTGAGCTTGTTTTGAGATATTCTGGAAAAAATAACCATTATGCAAATTAGATAAAGTATGTCATATGCTTATCATTATAGTTTTTAAAAGAGTTTACAGACACACACACACTCACTCACTCACACACACAGACTCACTCACACACAGACATTATAAGGCACCGATAGCAAGTTAGTTTCTTATTAGGCCTCCTTGCGTTTACAAACAGAAAACAAGCATCATGTAGCCAAGCAAGCTGAGTAGGCTAGATTACTTACCATTCATCATTTCTCTGATTTGGTCCCGTCTTCTCACCATCTCCTCCGGCGCGAAGAGCTTGTAACAAGGGCTGCTGTTGTGGTGTTTGCAGCTACACCTCCCTAGCTATTTCGATTTCCTTTACACTATCTTCATTTATGTTATTAAAATCGGAGACATTGTAAGCTACCATCGGGTCCTCCTCGCCTCCGTCACACTCGCTTTCTTCGATCGGAGCCAGCCGGTGTCGGCGGGGTGAAGGCCGAGTCAGACTCGGAGGTCAAGCCGCCGGTGTCATTCTCTCTCTCAGCTGCCGGGGCTTGAAATAGTCCGTAATAAGGTCGGTTCAGTCGTCGTCTGATGTGGCATTTCTTCAAGGAATTGAATTTAAAAGTCGAGCAAAGTCTTTGCGCGAATTCATTTTGTCTAGGCTGTCAATCTGTCTCCGTGTCCGTCTAAACAGATGTCGCTCTGACAGATAACACACAAAGACGCTAGCCGGCGTTTTGAAATCTGACACCTGTTTCGTTTCATTAATGCTAGTGATATTTATCATTTGAATTTTACATTAATTTTGACATTGTATTAAAGCTGAGACTTTATTTAATTAGAAACATATAAAAACTGAAAACAGCCCAAAATCGTATTTTCTTGTAAAAACTTGTTTTTACACACACTGGCCGCTGCGACATCCGACTCATTTTAATGGAACGCGTCACATTTTATTTCCATGTCAGGTCATTTATGAGACCCATCCCACATGGAAGTACATTTACATCCGTCTGTATGTTGATTAATGTACACTGTCCTTTTCAAATCAATCAATATACTGTTTCAACACAGTTATATCACATGTATTTTTAAATTTGATTTGGTAACACTGATGTGTCTCACCTTGGACAGCCATCAGACTCTTGGCTGATTCTCTTCCTCCAGAGATACACTTGTAGAATCCTTCATCATGTTTGGAAACACTGGGGATTCTCATGTTTCCTGTAGAGCTTCTTCTGATAAGGCGGCCGTCTTTGTAGAAATCAGCTGAGAGATTGGTAGAGGTCGTCTTGCGTCTGCAGCGCAGAGTCACAGTCTCTCCCTCCACCACACTGATGGGACTCTCCAGGATCACAGGATCAGCTGAACAACATGGGGTTCATATTTTATATCACACAAAGATGAGTGCATGTAAAGATCTCGTCTTTATGCAAACTTACCAGTAACATTGATGTGGATGATGTCGCTTCTGTTCCTATCTCCGGACTCACACCAGTATTGCCCACTGTCCTCTGGAAAAATATTAGGAATAGTGCAGGATGACCTTTTTGATGTCACTGTAGTGTTACATTTGAGTAATTCCCCTTTGGACCGATGTACAATTTTCAATCCAGTCGAGTCATGAGAGCCCTCACAATGGAAGATCAGAGACTCGTATTCAAAGAACTGCAGTCTGTTTGGTTCAAGACGGAGAATCAGTGAATCTGAAACAAACCAAAGAAAGACATGTTCTCTTATGTCATACAAAATACCAAAATTTGAACAATAACTTTGAGAAACTTAACGGTACATACCCACATCTTGAACATGTGCACCCAACAGGAATAACACACAGATCACTGGAAAGAAAAAGAGTTGTATGTTAGATCTCATAAAAACAGGTACGGAAATATCTGTGAAACAGATAAAGATCATACTCACACAGCCTGATGTTAAGAGCACAGACCTCCATGTTGACTCTCTGAACACAAGACTGAAGCGTCCACGAGGTGAGGAGGGGTCTCTTGCTGCTTATTTCTGCTGCTGATGTGATACATGGTTTGTGGTTAGGGTTGAAAATATTTCCCCACAGACTAAGCTGATCGAGAGGCTGAGCCGGGGTTCATTTGAATTTCATAAGACGGAGACAATGAACTGAGACAAACTGACTGTGAGACCAAACTCTGGTTTAAATACAGATAGTCTGGCTTTTATATAGTGCTTTATCACTTAACATTACTGTCTTGTCTTTTTTATCCTATTACAATTTTAAATATTTTCCTCTTATGTATTTATTTTAATATCTTGTTGCTTCTATGTGTTGTATTTTCTTTTATTTTCTTTTTATACACATTTTTAATCAATATGGCCTCCCCTTAAAGAGTTTTTCACGTACACTCACGAAAATTAGTATGCATATTAAGCTTGTCGGGACGGACTAAAAATCCTCTTGCAGCGTTTCAAAAAACCCGACAGGAAGTCCACAAATATAAAGTTGAATTTCACGATAATGGCCCAAAATGGCTCAAAATCGCCAATTTCAGCCTTGCTAGTTGAAGGATCTTGCCCGAGGGTGCTCATCCGATCGACGCAAACTCAGTGTCAGTGCGTTCTAGACAGGCTCAACATATATTGTACGCTGCACGTTATTTCATCAAAGGGCGTGGCCTTGACGTGCGTTTGAATTTTTTGGAATGTTTTGGCAAGTTGCCAAAAAAGTAAATGCTTATATCTCTGCCATCTAGTGTTCAATCATATTACAATTTCTCATGCATGATACGGACCCTGAACACATCCATGATTGACATTTTTTGATTAGTCACAGCGCACCTGTTGACAACAGGAAGTTACTGCTTCTCAATTAGCATTAGCCATTGCTACACAGTTGCTCATTTTCCCCTCAAAATTGTGTGGACCATGCTA